ACAACCCTGACCGTGTTACACTGACGGCGTCGACCTAGACAGCCAACAACTATCCGGCCGCACATGTCTAGCGGAGACTGCAGTGACGAAGGCGGCGAAGACGACAACAACGACGAGACGAGTCCACTTCCCAGAACCGGCAGCCAGGAGCTCTCGCTCTCCGCTGCTTTTATCTTACCCTGCGTGGCCTGGCTCCGCCCTGACCACGCCTCCCTTCTCGAACTCACTAGCGGGTTCCAGGGGCTTCCCAACTGGGTCTCTGTAACCCTTGCCCCAGTTCCTCTGCCCTGCCGACACACCCGCGTAAGTGCTCACTGGCGTGTGTACTACTCGTTCACCGCAGTTGCCGTTGCTGTACAACAGACGGCACTATTACACTACACTTGTATGAGGCTGGCTACTGGAGGCACGTGAGCTGGAAAGAGAATGGAGCCAAGAAGGGATCGCTTTGGGACGCCGAATAGATGAGGCAGGACGCTGAATCTAGCTTGTCCATGTTCCATTAAGTTCTCTTACGTTCAACAAGTGCGCGAATCTCCGCATAGAAAAGTAAAACCACGGCAACCCTATTCAGCTCTTATCTCGTAGATGTGGTACCTCTCTTGGTTATATTGGCACAAGATGGAGGAAAGTTGAAACAAATGACGAAATGTGCAGTGGACACCTACGGGCTATCTGCCCATGGATCGTGATGACGGTGATGGGATGTCTGACTGATAACAGGCGAATTGAGCCTCGACGGTGCTTGGATGGGAGATCACCGCCGTGCATGAGCACCGAGACAAGCTGGTGGTGGGGGGGGAGGGCAGCAGAGACTGGTGCAGAAAAACACATTTGTCATTCTGCAATTCCCGCCCCCACCCCCCACCCACCTTCACCAACTCGCGATTAGCAGCGTGGAGAAGTATGGTCCAATAACCCTCATTGCACGGCGCGAGGAGCTTCTCATCCAGCATTAGATTGACAAACTGCACATGGAGACACATCCCAGGTCGCGCGTTGCCCCAGGGGCCCAGACCCCAAAACTCTGCCTTTGTGGCACTGCCCGAGAATGGCAACACTGTGGTTGTAGCAACATCGCCAATGAAAGTGTTGTGTGCAATAACCTCATCTAACAAGGGTGTGATCACATAATCCACTTGCATTATGCACGTGTTAAACTGCTCATATAATAATAATGAGAAAGCACCCTAAAACATATCCAGAAACTGGCGTCACTAAATAATTTCCGCTTCTGGAAATGTAACGCCACTGGGACAAATTTAATTTTGGATGAAAACCGCGCACCACTGACGTCATATTGCGAATGGAGGAAAACAGTCGCCTTTCCATTCACATTTTGGACCCACGCGCTTAACCTTACACAATGCAAATTCAACCTCGATTAAGCTTGGAGAGCTGAATGAAGTTAAAAATAACTCAGAGACACCTCGTTAAAGACCCAACGCAGAAGATCCCTGTGTTTGATCGTCCATGAAGCGCATCGTCCACCCTAAATCGCATCCGCTGCACAACCCGTGGCAGATGCGGATACCTGATGCACAAATGTAATACTAAAAACTCTCCAGTAGCAGTGTGCGACTGTGGTCACCCAGAACAGACCTTACAACGTATAACGACGCAATGCCCCATCCACAAATACGAAGGAGACATCACAGCGATGATATACTCCGCTGCTCCTGACGGGCAATCACCCGCCTTTGACCACCTAAATGTTAAATTGTAAGCTGTTGCTCTGCATCTACATCATCGGCCGTACGAGAGAAGAAGAAACATGTACACATGGCGTGCCAACCCATACGGTTCACCCCGTATTCTTGTACAGGGACATTTAGTTTCCAGGTCCATACGGCGATCAGCCGTTTCAAATACGGGCAAAAATGTTTTTGTCTATTTGTGTTGTTTCTAGATTTGAAGTTTTCCTGATTGCAAGGATCTTTCGGTAAAGTCACGTAGGTGAAAAAAATATATTTCATTTTTTTTATTTTTCACCTACGTGACTTTGCCAAAAGAACCAAAGACTATGTGTGTTGTGTTTCTCTCTTGTGATGAGACTTTGTAGCATGAACGTTGAGATTTATAAGTGGTATGGGGTGACCAATAAGGTCTGAACCGGTCTGTAATAAGGTCGGGCACTGATAAGGGCTTACCTTATTATTGACGTTTGTCGGTACGCACGACGTTCACAAAGTGGCGCACCGTACGTGTTTTTACCGGGGCTGCGTGCTCAAGAGGAAGAGTTGAACCGATCCTCAGGAACCCACAGACAAAGCTGCCATCCACCACCGCCACCCCAGGCATGGAGAGGCGCCTCGCCAACCAGGATGGGAGATCTGGTGGAACCCGAAACACGGGGCCGGTGGCTCGGACCAGCAGACATGGCCGCAAAGACAGGGGGGCTGCAGTCGCTCCGGGTGGCTGCCCGGATCCTGGCCGAAGCCAAGGGGGCCTTCTCAGCGGCAGCGGGGAGAACGCCTCCCATCGGCGTTGGGGATGACGAGGCCCCTCTCGGTCCCCCTCCACCGGAGCTCTCAGTCGTGCCACTGCATCGCCAATGCCGACAAACGAAGGCGGATCACAACCTGTGCCGGCTAGAAGACCTGCCAGGGGTGGCCTTCGCAAATGTAAAGGGGAAGGTGCTCTACTCCTACATGGTCCGGTTCCACCAACAGGACACCCTGAGGAGCCACAAGGACCATGCCTGGAGGAAAGCCCTGCCCTGCGTCTCTCCGGAGAGGCCTCGCTGGAGGCAACTCTTCTCCAGCCCGACGTACAACCGCATCGGCGACCTCAGCTGGAGCATCGCCCACGGCACCGTCACCACCAATGTCTCCCTGGCGCGCTTCACCGACATGTCCCCAGAGTGTCGGTTCTGCGGTAAAGTGGAGACAGTGGCGCACCAATACGTGGAGTGCAAGAGCCTGGACTCGCTGTTCAAGGTCCTGAGACACATCCTCCTAAGGTTCAGCCTCCACTTCTCCCCGACGGTCCTCATCTTTGGATACCCGAAGGGCGACGGACCCAAACATCTTCAGGGGCGGGTCAACGTGCCCTTCGGCTACACCAAGCTCGCCATATACAGGGCGAGGAAGGTAGCCCTGGAGGGGCAACGTCCAACCAGCAGCCTGGGCATCTTCCGCGCTCTGGTCGGAGCCAGGGTGTGGCTGGAGTTCCGCCATGCGCGGCTGACCCACGCCGTGCCGGCCTTCAAGGAGCGGTGGGCGCTGGAGGAGGCCGTGTGCTCGGTGGCAGATGACGGCGAGCTCTGCATGCAGATTTAAGCTACCCGTCGGAGGCCGTTTGACTATGGGGAGGGCTGCGTGCAGGTGCAGCACTTGTCGTAGTTATAAAAAAAGAGAGAGTGAGTGAGAGAGAGAGCCAAATGGAGTAGGAAGAGAGGGGGCAGAGAGAGAGGGGGGCAGAGAGGGGGTAGAGAGAGAGGAGAGGCAGAGAGGGGGGTAGAAAGAGAGGGAAGGGGTAAGGAGAGCAGAAAAAAAAGAAAAAAATATTTTGTTGGGTCTTTCATTTAAAAGGGGGGGGGGGGGAGGGCGAGGGTTTACACAAAGCAAAGCATAAAAAAATACAAAAAAACGAAATGATGAACGGAGCAAAGTGCTGACTACACCGAGCATCTTCTTGTTTCCTCTGATCGTAAAAAAAAAGAGGAAGAGTTTGTGGACTCGGGGTTGCTTATGATTCTCGAGGCGTCGCTGTCTCTTCTCACGGCCGGACGAACGACGGCAGCTCCAGGGGGAGTTTGCCCCACGCGCAAAACACCGAACAAGCGACGCCCTTACTCTCGTGGTTCTTTCGGTAAAGTCACGCAGGTAGAAACAAAATAAAATAAAATAGAACAAATCACGACGTTTCGATCGCAACACAAGCGCGATCTTCATCAGGTGGGACACCCATAGCAAGAAAAATGCTGAAGTAGGCGAGAGAGCTGCCGTGGCAAGAGGATGAACTCCGGCAACTCGCCCCCCCCCTTCACACATTCGTCGCTGGACCAGGATCAAACTCTAACGTATTTTGTGCACCCCTAGAAGTCCGTGCGACTGATGCGATGTGTAAACCGTGGTATTTTTGTGTTGTCGGCACGTGGGAGGGGAACGAGCGTGTGAAGGAGGCGAATTGTTTTGGACCACGTGTTGTTTTGCCATTCAGTTGCCACGCCAACGCGAATGACGATCAGTTTAACACGTAGCGGGCTTTCTCGACCAATATTATTCATAATAAAGGGTTTTGTGTTACATTGCGTACGTATAAATGCTTCGAAACCCTCCACCACCCGACACAGCCAATCAGTAAGCGATTTGTCACGGAAACAATAGTTACTACTTCAGTTACTACTTCAGCCCACCGGTGTGTTGGAGAGTAAATCCACAACATTTACAATCTGAGTAGTACGACGTTTCGCTGGGAATTACATCCAGAATATTATAGAAAATCGCCCGATGATGCTGGATGTAATTACCAGCGAAACGTGGTACTACTCAGATTGTAAATGTTGTGGATTTACTCTCCAACACACCGGTGGGCTGGAGTAGTAACCATTTGGCGTTTTGTTTCCGTGACTAATCCCTTACTGTTTGGCTGTGTCGGGCGGTGGAGGGTTACGACACATTTGTACTTACGCGATCTAACCCAAATACCTTTATTGCGAATTACTATTGTGTATTTGTTCAAAACTCAGGGAGGTCTTGATGCTCTTCAACAATTAGCTGGCACGACACGAGCAACCTTTAAATAAGGTCCCGGCGTGTTAAACTGTTGAAGTGCGTCCCCCATAGGGAAAAGACAATAGCCGATGATCAGTGCCGGATTATCCGAGTAGCAAAAGTAGCTACATATGCTACGGGCCCCGCACTTTTAAGGGCCCTGCGCTAAATGCTTTCAAGCTATCAATTCCGGTTCAGTGATTCTGCACTTGCTCTATCACTATAGTACTATACCGCCTTCAACTTTTATGAACGACTGGGCGTTTAAAGGTTAGCGATTTGTCGTATTATTTGGCTGTGTAGCAAATGAGAACACACAATTACTTAACTATGCAAGTTAATCATAAACGCTTGAATATTTACGTGTTTTTTTATTATTTAGGGCCCCCTTTATAACATATGCTACAGACTTACGCACTAGCTTAATCCGGCACTGGATCCCGGCATGTTAAGCTGTTGAAGTGCGTCCCCCATAGGGAAACTAGTGGATGGTGTGGCCACGACCACGCCGGGCGTTCGTCTCACCAGCGCTGATGCTCGATGCACCACATCGGCTACACGATTGAGGCCGAGTCGACCTGAGAGAGTCCAGAACCGATTGCTATCTCATTCCCCACGTATGGTATCCGTATCGCAGCGCGCTGAGCACTGCGCCACCGCTCTACCGCTGCTAGGATCACGAACACACACGCACGCCTCTTACACATCAATGAGTGGGCTCTCCCTCTCCGCGTGTCTCGCTCGCATCACGTGAGAGCGGGACGGTACTAAAGGGTGGATTTCACGAGGCAGGCGGCTCCTCCGCACGGACACGAGGCAACGACGCGGACCCAGTGAGTGAGTGCACGCGGACTCCGTGAGTACACACGTGTGCCTAGTAAGTACACGCAGACTGAGTGAGTACGTGGACTTAGTGAGTGAGTGCACGTGGACTCAGTGAGTGCAGTGAGTACGACTCAGTGAGTGCACGTGGACCTAGTAAGTACACGCGGACTGAGCGAGTACACGTGTACTCAGTGAGTGAGTACACGTGTACTCAGTGAGTGAGTGCACGTGGACTCAGTGAGTGCACGTGGACCCAGTAAGTACACGCGGACTGAGTGAGTACACGTGTACTCAGTGAGTGAGTGCACGTGGACTCAGTGAGTTCACGTGGACTTTGCGAGTGAGTCCACAGTGAAGTGCACGTGGACTCAGTGAGTACGACTCAGTAAGTACACGCGGACTGAGTGAGTACACGTGTACTCAGTGAGTGCACGTGGACTTTGTGAGTGAGCCCACAGTGAGTGCATGCGGACTCAGTAAGTACACGTGTGCCCAGTGAGTACACGCGGACTCAGTGAGTGCACGCGAACTCAGTGAGTGCAGAATCAGTGTCGAGTGATGCCTCATTGACCAACGCGGTGAAGTATGGTCATGACAGAACTCCTCGGAAGAAGTCATGACACTTTTTAATGGGTAATCAATGGGCATATATTACTGTAGTGTGCGATAGTTGAGTACAAATGAAAGTACATGTCTGCAGAGGCCGGCATCTGCTGTTTACGGACCTACACCGGCGGTGGAAATTCCACGTTCATATACCGGGGGCGGGTCAGCCCCCAGGGGCGTAGCGCTTTGTGGAAAGTCAGCGACAGTAGAATTCACGAGTCGTACTAATGTGAGCAACAGCCCCGCTATCCCCAATAGCGGTAAGGTGATTTGATCGCAATTACAAAGCGAAGTCACGCCTTGCCCATCGGGAATTCAATTAAATACGACGGGTGAGCATCGTGGTGAACGAAACAACTGCGAGCCGCGACGATAATTGCTTTGCAAAACGTGCTTCGGACTAACGCGTCAATTAGTGAACGCGCAAAGGCTGGCGCGCGCCGAAGTGAACTGGGTGAGCAGTTGCGGGACGTTTATTTAGGAACGACCTTCATTGGGCGAAGCGCACGCACACGATGTAACAAGGACTGTTTACGAGGTTACGGGACGCCGACGGAGTTGGGGGGGGTGTGTAATGCGTTTGCGTTGAACTTATTTTGCGCCGTACGTCGCCGCCCGTTGCTCGTCGCAGGTGCGCGACGATCGTCACGTTGCGGCAATTCGAATCGCGCCGTGACCGATCAAACCCCTACTCGCGAGCCGCCCACTGCGGCGGAACGATTGCCTTCGAGTCGGCGGCGCCACTCGATTCGAGCGGGGAATGCCCCGCATCGAAACGCTCATCGGAGGGGTGGCTGTTGGAGCTTTCGAGGCGGACCGCGTTGTGTCCGTCGGGTGCTGCTGCTGGCGGTGGTGGATGGCGGGGGCTGTGCGCGCGGCCTGTGACCCAGCACTGGGCGAGGCGAGGGTTGGCGGATCGCACGGATGTCGCGACAATTCGCTGCCCGTGGGGGGCACGCGGAGGAGCTTTGCGATGCGCTCGCTCGCCGGGAGAAGGGGGCACTGCGGACGCGTGCCTCGCCTGTTCCGTCTACGTCGGTGGTTGTCGAGGGTGTCGGGTTTTCTCCGGGTGCTCCGGTTTCTCTCCCCACGCGCGAATACGAATTAAGTGGCAGATACACACGCGAACGTATAAAGAGGCCCGCAGAGCTTGGGGAATTGTTGGCTGGCCGCGTGGCTCCTGTCTGTGGGGTCCTCCGCGCGCCCTGAGTCGTTCCTTCTCTTCGAGAGCGAGCGAATACTCTGCACGTTCCAAGTTCGGAATGATTATAGTCAGCAGTAGCAGTGGCGTTTTGTCCACTCGTGATGCAAGGTAAAGGCGCAGCCCTGAAATTGCTCGTTCACCGCTACTGCTGGCGGAATGGTCTCCACCCCAGTAACCTCTGGAGAGTGCGTGGTCTCTCCTCCACACAGGCCAGGCGTCTGTGGAAAGCGTGGGTGCACACACACACACGCTTTACCTCCCCGCGCACGACCTGTTTCCTGATCGACTGTGGCCGTACCCATTTAGATTTGCTGGTTGGACAGACGCCGTGCCGAGAGGTCGAATCGAACTGCCTTGCTTTGGGGTGGCGATCCCAGTGTGCTCGCCATTTCACCACGGCAGCTCTCGTTGCGTATGCCTGAATTGTATTGACGCGTGACCAAGTTTTAATGAATGCTGCATTCAGCTGCCTGTGGTTGTGTTCATTTTGTTAATCTCGATTACGAGCCAGCGCTTTGGCAGCGCTCGCTTTTGGCTTTGTCCGTCGCCTTCTCGTGCCAAGCGTCAGGAACACGGTCGCACCTCGGAAGTTGGTGGTGTCCCGTTAGCGAAGTTTCAGTTTTCAGTTTCATTTACTAGGTATAACCCTTTGAGCCATGCGGCTCTTGACTCGGGTGCAACCGCAACAAAACAAAAACATGAACAAGAAACATCTTCAAGTGACTACACGCAAAACAGAAAAATCCAGGAAAAAAACAGCAAAGTCTTCCAGAAAAAAACACCGAAGTGGCTCCCGGTGGCTACTGGGTCGTTTACAGACATGATCCGCAACGTTTGCTCCACACTTCGTCACGGATAGGAAGAGGTCCACTCTATCGTGAAAGTATGGGACGCTGCGGTGGTGAGATTTTAACTACTTCGCCTGGTATACAAGAGGTCGTGGGTTCCATCCCGACCCTGACGCCAATATATGTGGAGTTTGCATGTTCTCTCTCTCTCCCCGTGGTCGCGTGGATTTTTCTCCAGGTCTTCCGGTTTACCCCTGCAAATTATAAACATGCGTTTAAAATATTTTACTGCTATAACCTTGCACATTACAAGCCACTTCGTTGAAATGTCATTCGTGGCCAGCTCGCTTCTGAAAAAGAGCTATATAGCTCAGTGGACTTTACCCGGTAAAACAAATGTTTACGTTTAGTTTAAATGTGCAGCCCTGTAATTGCGTACTCATGCCCCTGTTGGCGGATGGACTTCCACTGGAGCGAACTCGATCAAGAGGGTATTTGGACTTTTCTTCCCACACTCTACCTTATCAAACGCGACATGCACATCAACTGTGAATGACCTCTCTGCAGCTAAACAACCACACGCATGTTACTGGGGTTGGCCAAACATCCCAATGCTTCAAATTACACTCAAAATTACTCATTCAGAATTACACGTTACAACATCGCCCCCCCCCCCATCCCCTTCCTCCTTACTGTGAAAACTTGGCAGGACCCTCCTGAAAATTAGTTTTGAGACACGGTGAGGCTTTCCTGGGCAAACAGGCGGAATAATAACACTGCTGGGTGGACATTGGCGGAGGATTTCAGAAACCAGCCCCCGTTTTGTCAACTTCGGCGCCCGTAAGGTGGGATCGAACCGGTAACGTCTGGATTACAAGCGCAGCAAGCGCTATTTAGCAGCTGCACCACGGGTTACGTTACTTCTACGCAGCCACTGATGCCTCTTGCCTCCAGCGCCGAGCTGGCGGTGGTGGCCCCGCATCAGCGGGATCGACATCGCGTGCACGGCGCTTCGTCTTGCGTCGAGCTGGGTCCCGTAGTTTGTACGGAGTGCTCTCGTCGATGACATTCTGCCATTTCACTCGCGTTCGGTTAACAAGCCTGACTGTGACCGATGAGATCCTGAAACCGTAGAAACCGGTCCAAATTGTGCTTGCTTGAAGTGTACGCTACCTGATCATACTCATCCTGAAAAAAATTCGAAATGGCCGAGCGACTAAATATCTTTTGGATTTACAATTTACAAGTTAAACATTGAAAATTATTTGCTGCTCAAACGAGCATGGCGACAGGTGCTCATATCCTGTTTACAGCCCTGAACTATTGGTGGAAATTCCAAATCCCTATGGTGGACGACCACTGTTGCGTTTCCCACAACATGGCACGTGTTTTATTATCCCCGGAGGGATGATGTGCTGTCAATTCTCAACCAAGATTGGAAGTCGCACACTTCCGAAATGTGAGCCGCTCACTGATATGGCAGAGCTGCTCTGAAAAATGGACAGTTTGGAGAAACGGAGACGTTATACCAGATGCAGGTTAAGTGAGCAGAAAATACAACACCTTTGCATATCCGTAACTCCACGTGAGCATTTTGTTTACACATCCAATCAGTCACATGGCTTATCAGCAGTATTAGTGTATTACAACTCTGGGCCGGTGTTTACATCAAGTGTCTCATCAGCAGAGTCAGTATTTATTAAACCAATGTTTGTAACGTGCCAGATTATAATCAGAATCTTTATTATAAAGCTGTTTTTCACAGATTTCCACTCATGTTATTTTATTATGCTCGTTTACCCAGGAGAGCCTCACTCAGTCTCAAGGCTCTTTTGCACGTGGGTCCTGCCACGTTGCACTTTGCGCAAGAGAGCAAAAGTTTGGTCGCCACATCTACGCCTCTATTTAAGGAGCGAAACAGGCGGACTTCTACACAAATCTGGCTGTCGCCTGATGAAGCTAGCTGTAATTACTGGCGAAACGTCGTACTCAGATTGTAAATGTTGTGGCTTTGCTCTCCAACACACCGGCGTGCTGTACTCGTGACGAATTGGCACACGTTCTGTTTACGTGACAACCCTTACGAGTTGACTGTATCGGGTTTTAACGACACATTTATATGTTTACGCGATCTAACCCAAAAAGACCTCTATTATGGTTCACAGGCCGTCTCGGCGAGACAACGATAATGTTGTGTTCCGTGTACCAGACAGGTCAGCAGGAGGGAGGTCTGAAATTATGGAACGAGAGGGCAATAAATAATTGTAACAAAACATTACCGACCGAGACATCGGAGTTGCTCATCACAGTTCCTGCGACCAAGGGGAAGGACAGACCCGAGGCCAGGTGGTGGTGAAGACACTCGTGAGGCGCAGACCTTGGAGGTCCATTGCTGCCTACGAAGAAGCTTCGGGATCTGGTGCATGGTTCCAAAGCGCTGGCAATGAGCGGGGTTATTTTTTTTTCGTGTAACCGTCGCTCATCAGGCGCGGATTCCTTTGTCGGGCATTCGTCCGCCGACTTGACGACACTCGTGCTGCTTTCCGCACGTGGCCGGTTTGTCATCTTCGCCCCAAAATTAGGTGCGGTGGCTTCAACGGCTTTGGTCATGGTGGCATCTTTATCTCGGCGTTTGATGCCATTGCGCGTGGGCTTACCGGTGCTGATGTTGCGTAGATTGTCCAGGCATACCTGCTTGCGGGGCCATTGGTTTGTTCAGACTTCTCTGGTGAACCCCTCCCCCTCTCAGGGGGCCCTGACCTCGACGGCGCGCAAACATCGGCGCGTGCGACTGACCGCACGTTGGGTTAACCAAACCTGGCCCCGTGCAAAGGGTTCTGCTGATAACCACACGCGTTGTGTACGCATGGTGGGGGACGGTAGTGCAGCGGCTAGCGCGCTGCGCGATATTCCACCCTGGCCACCCGGGTTCGATTTCCGCTCACGGTCGACACCCAGTGATGATTACGTGAATCGGTCCGGGGCCCTCCCCTAGGTCGACTTAGCCTCAAATAAGCACCTGGTGTGATGTGTAAACATCACCACTGCGTGGCCACCCACCCCCTCGCGTGCCGTGCCGGCCTTCATATGTGCTCGCTGCCAACACTTGCCCCAAGCGTCTGCACGGCCAGAAACGTTGCCTTGGTTTGCAGGCGGCCTTGCCACAGTGGCGAGCGAACTGCGCTAGAAAATGCCAAGTAATTCCTGGCCACGTATTACAGGGGAGAGTGGCGTCTCTCCGCTAGACCGGGCACCGTTGTAGGGTGGGGTGCGGATGGCCATGTGTGTTGGGGGGGGGGGATGGAGAACAGACGGTGCATTCCTGCCTGCCCGCGTGCATTCAAGTTCAGCAGCGCGGCCTTGACAGGCGAAGGGAGAGGGGTTTTTCTCCCAATATTGACTCTAGCCACGTGCACTGAGAGCGCGCCCTCGTGAAGCCAGCAAGTCGTGACCGCCTCCGCGCCCCGTGTCACCGAGACGCTCGCCAGCCACTCGCGTTCCCATCCTGTCCGGCGAGCCTCGGTCGCGTCTCGCGCGACTTCGATGAGCAACATCGCATTGCACGGCGCACTTGTATCAAATTGCAACTGATTACGGTGATGTCTGATTTAAAACCCCCAAAAAAGTTCACTCCTTTCGTGGCTCCGCCCATCCTGATCATCTCGATCATTGACGAGGGTGCGGCGTTTGATGGTAACCAGGTGACCAGGGCAGCATCGGGAAAGACAGCCTTGTGATATGTGCCGTCTGTTGGAATTGCGACCGTGGTAGTTTTGCTCTCCCTCGCACAGTTGATCCCTTCTCTACTAAAGAGGGAGAGAGAGAGAGAGATGACGAGATGTACAGCATGAGTCCAGTAAATCCTCGCTATGCGCGAGTTCTGGATTCGCGGGTTTCGCATATTCGGGAGTCGCTGAAATGTTAACCAATTCCCTATTCGCGACCCACCGGACTCCCGGACTCGCGAGTCTATCCACACTACCAAGGTGGTGCGCGCAGAGCTTTTTGTTGCATTTGAAAAAAAACTCTTTGCCAAGGAGAGGCACGCACCCCTCTGCTGCCCGCTTTTGTTCTCAGTCTGACACTAATCCCGCTATTGTGCATTTTCGACTGTGAGTTTCATTAAAAAACAACGCGGATGCAATCAGGGAAAGTGTTGCGGCGAGCGCTCCCCCCTAGGGCTAAAATGGGAACTGTTGCGGCGTTGTTATCAAACGCCCGCATTCCCGAAGAGCCAACTTCCTGAATTCCTCACCGACACCACCACCTCCGCCGTCGTCAAATCATGAAAGGTCATTACAAAAACCCTTCTTTATAACGTATTATTTTTTTGTAGTCATTATTATTAAACATTTACAAATCCCCCCGATGTTGACTTGTACCAGGAACGTAACCCCATTGTTCCCAGTGTTTACTGTACTAGCGTATAGCAAGACTTTGTGTTCCCTCCCAATAATGTTTCCCCAAGTTCGTATAGCTTTGCTTATTGCAAGAAACGTGTTAACAGTCATCAGTTACAACTGTGATAGTGAAACGTCTTGCTTGTTGCGCCTCCGTCGTTCATGCAGGGGGCACGTGTAGGTTTGCAAGCGTCCCCTGCATGAAAACGACGGAAAGTGCAGCGTTCATCACAGATAAAGTTGTGCGCTGATATAAGAGTATGCCTGCATTGCTGTTGGAATTCTATCACCGTGGAAACGGGCAATTCGTTTATTATTTTCACGATTATTTCATTATTTCTCACAATTATTTCACCTGCTGTATTTCAAGGCGATACAATTCTGCATACTGAACATTTAAATGACTCTCCCACACATGTCAGTGAACATTCACTACGTTGTACCAGATTAAAGATGAGGAAATGAATGAATTGCCCATCGGTGAATACTGTGCGTGTGACTGTGCGCCATGCCAGCCGAAAGAGGCATGAACAGCGCTTGGTCTACAGGCATTTCAATGCACTTTACCCTGACCTCAGTAATCTGGAGCCTCCGTGTCTCTGTTATTTCCCAACTCGAAGTAAGCCATAGGGCAGTGCTTAATCTGCGTTTTGCAGAACAAATCATGCAAATAACACGTTGCCTCGGCATGGGAACCGAACAGTTTCTCCAGAGAGCAACCACTGCTGCCTTTGTTTTTGCACAGTTGCTGAGCACAGACCCAAAGCAACAAGCTCAAGTTCACGTGTGAAACCGCTTGAGAACTGGAGAGACCCAGGTTGTCTCAGTTGCAAGAGTCATCAAAATGTCAAAAGCAAAAAAAATATATTTTTTTAAAGTAGCACAATGCAGCGAACCAAAATCAGAGAAAAAATAAAACTGCCTCGCATTCGAAAAAAAATTGCATACTCATAAAGCAATGTTAAATAATAATTCATGTTTATTTTACAGTATAAGTGGACTCGGGCTAATATTTTTTGGATAGTTGCAGTTAAGTTCGATTACGTTGGAATCGATCTGCAGACAGCGCTCTTCTCGATCCCGCAATCCCAAACAGGTGAAAGTCCGCATCAAACCGAACCCCCAGCAAGGCCATCTACTTAAGGACGAGATAATATTTACGTACTCTACTGCGCCAAGCTGCTGTGTGAGACCATTTTATATTCTATGCGACCCCAAATGATCCGTCGCTCTGCAATTCTGTGAACTGTGGAGCTTACGTACGCCATGATTTGTAAAGTCTCTCTTTTGTTCGTCCGTTGTTTCCCCATTCCCAGCAGTGCCCACACGCTTTGCGTTGGAATCAGAAAATGAAGTCAGACAAAGAGCAAGCCTTCCCTCCCCAGCTCAAGCCACCTCGGTGGGCCAATATCAAGGTGCGAGTTCAAACAAAGGGTTGCCACCCTGTGACCCGGACACTAGGGATCTGGCATCTGTGTTCTCGTGGCAGGAATTTATTTTTACTGACATCTGGAGGCATTCGCATTTCCGCACCTCCGATTAGCACGGTCGGCTACGTACGATGCAAAAGAAGTTCAACACACCGTACATATTAATGATGCCTCAGCAAGATGTTTTTATTACTTTGTTCCTTTTACTTTTGTGGCTTTCTTTTCGTCATTGTGGTGACACAGGTCGCTCTTGCAAATGAGAATCATCCTGGTCTCTTCAGGTCTCACCTTGTTCCACAAAATAACCTTGAAAATATGAAACGTTTGCTATCTTGACTTTTCACTCGTAAAAGAGACTGCCTCACTCCATTCTGTAATGCTCTGCACCAGCTTCCTGTTAACCCCAGCATCGTCCACTCCACAATCGTTTATCATAGCCCTCAAAATAAATAATGGCATCAGTCGCTGTCTTCATTATTTTCCTCCCACTGCCTCCACTCCAAAGTCACAATGTCTCGGTTCTCTCTACCTCTGTACCACAATCACTATCATCTCTATGTGGTAAACTTGTTCTGTCTCTCACACTGTCTATACTTTCCATCTTAATCTGCCACCCATTCTCACTCATTCTGTCTGTCTATCCCTTGCTACCGCGTCCTCTCTCACACAAAGACAAAGCCAAGGATGCCCCGTATAGCCTAACCAGACTGTTGGGGCAAGTGCTGTTAGCGAGCATCTATGAAGGCTGGCATGGTACACGAGGTGGTGTGTGACCAAAACCCCAGTGGCGAAGTTTACACATCGCACCAGGTACTCATTTGAGGCTGAGTCGACCCAGGGGAGGCCCAGGACCAGTCCTGATTATCATCACTGGTGTTAGCCACGAGCAGGAATCGAACCCGCGTCGCCGAGTTCGAAGCGCAGCGTGCTAACCCGCTACACCACCGCTCCCACAAAAAAACACACACACACTTGCCTCTCTCCATCATTAACCTCTGTCTCTGTCTCCCTCTCACCCCCCCCCCCCCACGACTCCCCGCACCCTGCAGGTCTTCCTGCTCTGCCTGTCGCTGCTCTTCTTCTCCAAGGCGATGTCCGGCAGCTACATGAAGAGCTCCATCACCTCCATCGAGCGCCGCTTCGACCTGCCGAGCTCCGTGGCCGGGATCATCGACGGCGGCTTCGAGATGGGTGCCCACTGCCACTCTCCCCAAGTCCTACGCCGCGCCATTTATTCAAATATCCACGTTCCATCCCTCGGACAAAATGTAAACGTAGAACTGCACGTGAATAATCCAATTTCCTGAGATGGAACATCTCGTTTGCAAAGGTCTCCAGAGTGCCGATTGACACATACGTAGCAGACACGTAATGATTTGTAAAGGGACACATTTAAAATACTTCGGTTTACTCAGCCATGCGTGATGTCAGTTGGTTGGATGAGTTAATGCCGCACTTTTCAGAGCGGTTCTTATTCGAAACGGCAGCGGGTGTGTGCGAGTGTTGGAGGGTTTCTGTGTATCTGTGTGGGGGCAGTGGCGCAATGGTTAGCGCGCTGTGCTCCAAATCCAGCGACCCGAGTTCGATTCCCCGTTCACGGCCAACACCAGTGACGATTCTCTGAACCAGTCCTAGGCGTCCGCTAGGTCAGTTCAGCTTCAAATGAGTATTTGGTGCGGTGTGTAAACATCGCCACTGGAGAGACAAGGGGGCCGTCCATAAATGACGTCACCCACCTAAGGGGTGGGGGAGGGGTTAAACATTTGTGACGATGTGTGACCAGGGTGGGGGGGGGGTTGGGAAATGTGACGTCACATCAAAATGCGCAACTTTAAATAAATGTAGACAACACGTTCTACTTAATTAAATAGACGTTTCAATAAATGGTTTCTCCTACAACATCAGAGTGCAGCGCCACATTAAATACGCACTACAATGACAATAGTTTTAAAGCGATTTGAAGCATGTTTTATTTTCAAAATCGAAATATGGTTTTGGGGAGGGGGGGAGCAGAGCTTTGTGACGTCATTTATGAGGGGGGGTCTGACTTTTTGTGACGCCGTGTGACGAGAGGGGGGGGGTCAAAAATCATCCAAAATCGCGTGACGTCATTTATGGACGGCCCCAAATGTGGCCGGGCGTGGTGCTGGCCATCCATCCCTTCGGATGCCGTGCCAGCCTACATAGGTACTCGCTCACAGCACTTGCCCCAACAGTTTGTGAAGGCTACACGGGGGGGTTCTTCGTGTGCGAGTGTGTCTGTGTGAGCGCGTGTCAGTGAACGTGGGCTGCAGGACGAACAGCTTTCAAACAGGCAGTTCTGCGTTTACATTTTGCCCAACCGGCGACCACCGTGCATAACAGGTGCTATAGGCTGCTGCGGGGCTACGTTATGCAACAAAATACGTTGTTTAACTGTACTCTGGTCATAACTTGCCCGCAGTCACCCCCCTATGGTGAGATAGAGTCAACAACAACCGCCGTTCGCCACTAAGTGGCGGTGACGTCAACCAAGGCGCTTGTGCCAGGCTATGTGCACGTTAAGAAGAAGAGTCCACTAACCCCATGACCCGCACTCATTGAAGCAGTGGTTTAACGAAAGGGGCTGCGCTCGTACACGTGCAGCGCGAATAATCGCGCCGAGTGTGGAATAACGATACGCGTCATTCCCCGCTCGTAATTAAACGTTGTGAGGTGACGCATGTTTGGGCGAAGCGCACAGCCAGGTGCTGGTGGAGTTGGATAGCTTCGGCGACTAAATCCATCTCCAGTCTCCACCGCCGCTCGCCTTCCTTGTCCACAGCTGCTGTATGCAGAGGCCCTTTGGACGGTTCACCCAGCAAAATACATATTTTTATATTTTCGCGGTTTTCCGGTAAACACGTGCCAATCAGTGCGTTCGTGGCTAAACTGCGCACTGGAATCGATTATCGGCTCCTGCCTTTTCGGAACCGGCAAGCGATATGGAGAGCACGTGCTCATACACGATGTGGGTTTTAGTATCGATACCAGGTGAGCCGTCGCGAGAGGAGTGGTGACATTCCGTGCCGTAGATCACGGAGTCATCAATGTTTATATCGACTTCAAAGCCCGATTCAGAACAGGAGCTCATTCATCCATGGGCTTCCTGAACCCTCACCTTCCAGGCAGCATTCCAGTTGTGGCCTTTTGCTAACAATGGGGACTTTTGATCCCCACTGTATTTGCTTCCGTTCAGCCTTGCTATTTGTTATGACAACCCCAAGTAGGCCAAAATTGTTCTTTGGCTTCGTGCTGCATCACGTGTACTCATGCCGTGTTCTCAACACCATAAAATAATCTAACCCGCGGCCATGCTGAGCCATGCCTTGAACTTCCCGAACACAGCACATTTCTTGTCCAAACAAAAGCCTCAAAGGCCACTTATCTCCGCAAGCTCGTTTCTTCCAACTTCCATCATCTAACACCCCCCACCCCCACCTCCTCTAAAGCAATCGTATATTTCGTATGAGTTTCAACACATCCCCATTGCCCCCACCCGACATTATCATGATTGGGTCCACGGGCAACTTTGGGTGAAAGTGACGGTTTGACACATTTTCTGCAGACCGGACCCAGACATTTTTCCCAGTGAGCCATGCGTCTACCAAAACTATGCCGTATCCTGTAATTAAATTCGGCACAGAACCACCATATTATAATTAAATCAATGCCACCTCGAACACAGATGCTAATTCCTGAACCCCGGACAGATGAACATCCAAAACCCAAAATGGATGGCAACCCGAGTGAAATGTGCAGCTTTCTTAAGAAAGGGACTCACACAAGCCTGCTTAAAGTGTGCTCTGTGGCAAAGTTAAATGTTAATTTACATACAAACTCAAATGATGTCCAACCTCAGACTTACCATTTGACATTGACACGATGAACCAATCAGGAACTGCAGTGGAGAATGCTGTGACCACGGCAGGATATCGAGATCCCTGTGCGTGCGGATTTGATCTCTGATCGTTATGCATAGCAACGCGGTCATCTCGGTATTCGCTATTGCCATCTTAGTCTAGAATGAGTGATTGGCGCAGTTGTGTGGGCAAACATCAGCACTGGGAAGACAAAGATGTCCAGTTTTTAATGGATGCTGCATAGGTGCTTCCTAACAGGACGAACCCACCAGTCTAAAACAACAATAATACAGCTAAACCGGGGAACACCTCTCTCTCTCACTGCTGTTGCCACCAGGCAATCTGCTGGTGATCACAGCTGTGAGCTACTTTGGGGCGCGCTTTCATCGTCCTCGCATCATCGCAGCCGGAGCGACCCTCATGGGGCTGGGCACCCTGCTCATAGCCCTGCCGCACTTCCTCATGGGCAGGTGAGCTCCTCCTTACACCCGTACACAACTAGTGAAGAGTGATGTTGTAATTGAGCCATGATTGGTCTGGTAACCATAATGAGTATCTGCTCACTTAGAGAGGTATACTGACCAGTGGCAGTGGAACCTTCACCCCAGCCCGCACCTCTCGTCGGTTTAGCCCAGACACTGCGTCCTAAAAGCAGGGAGATACAAATCCTATTGACAGCGGCACCGTTAGAGATGGAACGGCGAGTGTCCCAGTGTCTTTGTGTCTCTCTCTCCACTGCCCCAACCCACTCACTTCTTCCCCTTTGCCCGTCCACCGCTGCTGTTGTAAAAGGTAAAGGTGTGGACCTGCAATAGCGTGCTGTTGTATATATAGGCCTTTTTCCAAAAATTTATATTAAAAAGAATTCTGCCAATATTTTTTCAAATAATAATAATCGATGAAAATGAATAAAACAAACACCCTCAAACCCGCTACCTCCCACAAGCACCAAGCATCTGGAGGTCGTAAAAGGCCATTAAATAATAAACTCCGGGGCAAAGGAAGGTTAACGACGATCTGCAAAATCTCCAGATTGTCAAAGGACCGCATGCCATGCCCTCCACGGACGTTTTGGACAGTTCACAAACAAATCTCCAGAGCCGTAAAACACAGGTACATAGCAGAGACAAACGGACATTACAACTGGCGTTTTCTTTAAAGTAAAAGCTTGAAACTCAGCAAAAAGAACAAATCTTATTGTATCTTTCTATCTACGTGACTTTACCAAGAGAATCAAGGAATATGAATTCCAGCAGTCAAGAAAGCTTAAGTGGAACCTTAATTATATCTCCGACCTCAGGATATCAAAATATAACTCGAGAATAAAATGCACGGATCCCTGGATACAGACAGGGGGTAAAAGTTAATATAACCCTTGAAATACCGGAGGTAACATCTAATGACATTACAAATCTTGGTTAAACATAAACCAAATAATAACCACGAGATATTTGACCGGGGGTAACTCATAAGAGATACAAAAAAATAGGTCAAACACAAAAGACTAGATAATGTGTATTCCATGAAATCTGAGCCTCCCTGGCCACCTTTGTCTTCCAACAATTTGACACAAACACACGGTAGCCATAAAATACGTATGAAGGCTGTCTGGCCTCGAGATAACGAACACTATGAAGGGGGGGGGGGGAATGCAAACAAAAACATAGCCAGTCAAAGGTCAAAAGGGGGGGGGGGGGGCAGCCAGGCTGCTGTGGCCACGGGAGGAGAACAGACAGAGGGCATCTTGTTTTTTTTATTCGCAAGAGACGTGCAAAGAGGGGAGATAATTTCACATTTAAGCACGGACACAGATCATGCAATTCAGTCTTGCAAAGGGGCAGGCTCCGGGGCATGGCCTCGAGATCAACCATGGGTGTCGTGTCTCACAGAGAGAAGGGACGATGTGCTGTTAAGAGCTGAGTTCGGCATGAACCGACAGAGTATCGCTGAAAGTCTTCTTCTACATTTATCCTGAAGTTTTGAGTCGCTTGCGGAATCGAGGATTGCGATAAGTTGTATTGTACTAAGCCATCAGAGTTGTGTGAGAGGTGTGCTAATACAGTTTACAAGTTTTGAGAGTGAGTGATCCAGCCAGCGACGAGCAGTTCACAGCAAGAGCCCTCTTGGAAGAAGGGCGGAGAGCACGAAAGTTGAGCAACGACAAGGCGAAACCCTGAAGGAAGGGTGGGAGAGGCAACACACTGAATGCCAGTGCAAAACTGGCAGCTGCCCGCCAAAGGAGAGCACGGAGCAGTGGAAAGAACCTGAGCCAGCGTAGCCCTGAAGTAAGGGCGGGAGAGGCACCAGCGGGTGCCCGTGTGAAGCTGGCAGCTGCACGATAAAGGAGAGAGCACAGAGAGAGCACGGACAGAGCAAGGAGAGAGCACGGAGCAGTGGAAACAGCCTGACCAGCCGCCCGTGAGGAAGAGGAGAGCGCCGGCGAGAGCGCCGTGGGTTCGACCCACACTCACACCGACCGGCACCAGCTGGGAACCAAGACGAGAGTGAGGAACGGCGACCAGCGGACGAGCTGCGAGCGCTATCTGACGACGGAATCATCGCGCACCGCCGACGGCGAGCATCGCGCCAACTCAACCAGCAGTGGAGAGAGCTGTAACACCAAGAGGAAGAGTGTTGGCGCAGGGACACACACACGCCATCCCAGCGGCCCTGCTGGGAGGTATTTTCAGCACAATGAACGCTGTACCGCGTAAGCCGCCAAGTCAACAAGTGGCAAAGAAGACACGCACACAACACGCGGCAAAGAAGACACGCACACAACACGCATATCGGGACTGATAACATTGTTCCAAAAAGTTATCTTTGTGTTTTAAGAAGTGTTGCCATTCCAAGGTGGTGCGTTAAATATCAGCTGATTGTGAAAAGCATTGCTGCCCGTCAAGTTACATGAATACGATTGTTTAGAAGTATTTTACTCATTCGTTTTCGTTAATTGCATCTTACCAATGAATTAATTGATAACTACTCTTGCTTTAGGCACATGTTCCTTTATTGCTGTTTGTATGAATATTGTCACATTAATTTTGAAGGACTTTTTCCTATCGCCGTGTATGCTCGCTTTTACGCTGAGGAATAAACCGATTGTTCTGTTACCCAGTTTATCAAACGTAATCATTGAGGGTTAAATGTACAGATCAATGTGGAGAACATCTCCAGAAGTACTGTGTTGACAATTCCAAGCATAATAATTCGCATATTAGAATGTTATGTTTTTGTTTAGAGATTAAAGTTGCTTAACACAGAAGTGTCTGAGTGGTGCCTTCCTAAGTTCATGCATAATAATCTTAATTATGAGAACTGTATCCTTCGGTGAGATTTTAATTTGGAGACCTGACATAAAAAACACTAAGACATAATTCTAAAATGTTAAAGTGAGAATGATTGTATTATCCCGATTAATAATACAACCCAAGACAACGAAGCCGAGTATAATTATCTAAAATACATACATTAGCATAATCATGTACCTTTACATAACCTAATATAATTGTACCTCCTCAATTAGCATAATTTATGTGCATAATTGCATACATTAGCAACATTTCAGATTTTCCCATTTTTATTTAATGTTTTATTATTATTAATTTTTCAAGACCCGACATATACAACAATGCCCAAGCGACTGCTGGCAGGGAGGGGCCTCCACTCTGGCGAATTCGAAAGGGTGTTTGATTTCCCCTTCCACGTTGACCGTATGCTTTGGAAAGAGGTGGGCAGGGCCCACACTGTGCTCACACATCCACCCTACTGGCTGGACAGAAGCAGCGGTGAAGCGAGATGGAGGATTTGAGAACAGGTACCCGTACTCAGAGCGTGTGTCCCTGCGCGCAGGTACTCGTACGAGAGCATCGCCCTGGGGAGCGCGAACGCGACTGCGGAGAGGCCCGTGTGTGCGACGCACGAGGTCCAGTGGGGCGCCTCCGGCGAGCTGTCCCAGCGTCCCCCGCTCGACACCCAGGGGCCGCAGTCGCCACGGCCGGCAGATGAAAGTAAGGGGTCAAGGTCACGATGATGCAACAGGCACAAGCAACGGGGCGTTAGAGATGCGTGCAGCAGCGTCTGAGTTCTGCGCGAGTTTAAACTCTGCGTGAAAATGTGTGAGAATGTGAGTGAGAATGAGCTGTGTGTGTGAGCTGCGTGAGTGTGTGTGAGTGAGACGTGTGTGAGGGTGAGACGTGATTATAATACTTGTGTGTTGTAAGGGCCCATTGCTCGAAACGTCAACTATTCTGGATTTTAATTTAGAGGCCACCCTCAGCAAATGTAGTTCAGCAGCTTCATAGCTTCATGGCCGTGACGAGAGGGACTTCTGCGTTGTATTCCATGGAATCTACGCTGTTCCCTGTCCTGCCTCTCAAGGTTGGAAGAGTCGGGGTTAGAGGTGCAGTGGTTGTTTTTTATGGTTATTATGCTTGCTGTTGTGGTATTTGTTAGTGGGTGGTATTTTTGTGGTTGCGGCCAATTGATTATCCAGTAGTGATTTGCTACTGTGGTGTAACAGTGTCGCTTATTTTGTGTTTTGGTGGTTGTGAGCATTTTCCCGGCCGTAGGCTTTCAGTTACCGTAACGGCCTAGTGCGTGCTCCGTCCACTGCTGCCCTGAGGGAGAGCAGCGCTCTCTCCACTGCTGCCCTGAGGCAAAGCCATGCTCTCTCCACTGCTGCCCTGAGGCAAAGCCGTGCTCTCTCCACTGCTGCCCTGAGGCAAAGCTATGCTCTGTACACTGCTGCCCTGAGGGAGAGCTGTGCTCTCTCCACTGCTGCCCTGAGGGAGAGCTGTGCTCTCTCCACTGCTGCCCTGAGGGAGAGCTGTGCTCTCTCCACTGCTGCCCTGAGGCAAAGTTGTGCTCTCTCCACTGCTGCCCTGAGGCAAAGCCGCGCTCTCTCCGCTGCTGGCCTGAGGGAGAGCTGTGCTCTCTCCACTGCTGCCCTGAGGGAGAGCTGTGCTCTCTCCACTGCTGCCCGGAGGCAGAACCGCGCTCTCTCCGCTGCTGGCCTGAGGGAGAGCCGCGCTCTCTCCACTGCTGCCCTGAGGCAAAGTTGTGCTCCGTCCACTGCTGCCCTGAGAGAGAGAGTCGCGCTGTCTCCACTGCGGCTGCCCCGAGATGTCGCGGGCGCTGCCCCAGAGCAAGGAGGCGCTGCCGCGGTCGTTTAACAAGCGGCTCAAGGACGACGTGAGCTCCATCCTGGACAACTTCACGGAGCTCGTCAAGACGGCCAAGGGTCGTGAATGAAGAGTCCCCTGTATGGGCTTCAGTGGGGCCGTCTGGTCGGGCAGCAGAGACACAAGAGGCCAAGAAACGGCATTCCAGTAGTGGGCTGAGCTCAAGGAGGGCTAGCTCGAGCACCATCCTGCCGAGGGGGAAAGCGGTACAGCTAAGCCCACAGCAGCCAAGAATCTGCTGTCCCTGTCTGGGGGGGGGGGCGCTGTTCAACCCTAGCACATGGGCGAGAAGCCGTGCATGTGTGACGAGTGCGGCAAGACGTTTTCTCGCGCTCGGCCTACAAGTATATATATTTTTTATTTTCCGCTTGTGTGTTAATCTGTGTGTACCCCGGATATTTTAAAGATGGCAATTATCCTGCTTTGTTTCCTACTGCTGTCCCTCCCGGCCATATCTAGTGCCACACTCAACTCTACGAATGGCTACCCTCGTTACTTTGCTTCCATACTTGTTGCTCGATTTGCCACTACACCTGCAAATGAAACAGCTTATAGACACTTCTACACTCCATCATTGTATCCTTTTAAACTCTATCTTTGTCCCATTACTTCACCAGCACTCCTTCCAAACTTCATTCTGTTCTTAAAAATAACACCATCTGTTAGCTGCTGCTATTCGTCCAAGGTTCACCACTCTTCATCCTTTCACAGAAAATACTTGTGCAAACTATTAATTCTACTTTTCTTATTTCTGAGTGGTATTGAGCTTCATCCTGGCCCAAATGTAAAGAACTCGTATAATTCTGTAGATTTTTCTGGCAGAAAAGGTGTTGGTGTTCTACATGTCAACATCAGAGGGCTTGTGATTAAATTAAGTCAACTAAAACTAGAAGTGGCAAATCTTGACCCGGACATTTTTTGCCTAACAAAAACATTTCTCACTCCTGCCGTCAATGACTTGCAGATTACGATAGACAACTACAACCTTTTTCGGCTTGACCGAGGATTTGAAGGAGGTGGAATTGCCATCTATGTCTAACACTATTGCATGTTCACCAGCTCACTCTTTGTTTAAAAAAATTAGCTTTGAAGGTTTGGCTCTCAGAATAAATCTCCCAAATAATCAACAGATATTGGTAGTGTGCTGCTATAGACCGCCTAGTGGGAAGGATGTTGGGGCTGCATCTGCACTGAGAGAGCTTTTTGGGGGCCTCCCTAAAGGTGAAATAGTTTTAGTGGGTGATCTAAATTGGAATTGACTAAACCCGCCGGCCGTGGCCACAAATTTTGCAGATGAATTTAACCTGTTTCAATTAATAAATGTTCCCACAAGACCCAACCTAAAAAATCCGGGACAGTCATCTCTGCTTGACGTCCTATTGACAAATGCCCCTCACAATTTCGCACTGACTGGTGTTCTGGGTAATAACCTTAGTGATCACTCCTTCATTTTTGGGGTGAGATCATCAGCCAGACCCAAAGCCCCCCATAAATTGGTTGAGAAGCACTCTATGAGACATTTCAGCACTCAGGCATTTGCTAATGATGTGCTTCACTCAGATATTGACAAGGTCTGTGATATCCCCAACCTTACTACGGCTTGGGAGACCTTCAGGTACACGTTTCTCCAAATTCTTAACAAACATGCTCCGTTGGTTAGATTTAAAACTAAAGGCAACCGCCCACCATGGTTTGATCCTTTGATTACAAAGCTCATGAACACCGCACTCACCCCAACAGTCCGTGAAAGCGACGAGGGGGATCTTTGTCTACGAATTCGCGTGCGCACCGCCCGGCATTGCGTCAGTCTCTCTCTTCACTTTGGTTCGTCCCCCCACCCCCGCTTCTCCCCGGCTTGTACAATGTCTCTTTTATATCTCCATTCATTAACTCTCCCAGGTATATCCCCTTCCAGCGTTACCTTCTGTGGAATGCACGTACTTTGACAGCATTCCACCTCCATCCCCCCACCCACCCCCCTTGGCCTCGTTTCCACTCACCCTTGCCCATCGCTTGTTAATTAGGAAACGTTTGCAACATTCTTCCACTGCTGTTTAGCGTTTCCCGTCTCTATCTGGCGCTAGCCCCCCGGGGTACTCCAGCGGTGAATATGTTATGTCTCCCGTGCCTTTCGACGATCTCGATACGGCAACTTTACTTGACCACTGCACGAGCGGATTAGACATTTGAGCAAAAGCAGGCAAATGGCGACCACGTTACAGAAGACGTTGAAAACAGCGTACAAACGTAAATCAATGTTACATTAAATGAAATGCATTTCATTCAACGAAAATAGACTCACGCTCTCACCCTGGATGGGGAAAAGGCATTTGACAGGGTTGAATGGGCCTCTGTTTCCGGGTGATGGACAAATTCGGCTTTCCCCCTTCGTTCATCGACATGTGCGGACTCCTGTACGCTAATCCTATGGCCTCGTGTGGTTGCAAATGGCTTAACATCTTGCAACGTTGCCTTAAGCAGAGGTACAAGGCAGGGGTTGCCCTCTTTCACCTCGGCTGTTTACCCTGGCCACGGTCCCATTTGCTGAGAGCATTAGGAGAAGTCAGCAGATCTCAGGAGTAAGATGTGGCGCTACAGAAAACAAAGCAACCCTTCATGCCAACGATGTCCCCAAATCGCGTTCACAAACCATGAGGTCTCAATTCACCGCTATTTTGGCCTAAGTGAGGGAGTATGGGGGAACTTCTGGATATCAATAAAATGTTTAACACGTAGGCTTTCGCGACCAATATCATCCATAAGAGGTTTTTTTTTAATTTCGGTTAGATCACATAAATATAATTGTGTCCTTAAACCTGCCACCACCCAACACAGCCGACTAGTAAAGGTTGTCACGTTAACAGAACATGCCAATTAGTTACTAGTACAGCACACCAGTGTGTGTAGGAGAGCCAATCCCCCCACCCCCCTCTCATAGGGCTCTTGTCCATTGAGCTTTTGTTCCCCCTCTATTCTGCGATCGGCGTTTTGTACCGGGCTCGCATTGAGTTGTAATTAAAACAATAAAAACACACACACGAAGCTACGCAGCTTAGTTATATCACAGTTGCGTGCAACAAAACTACGTTAACCGTTGAAAGACTTAATTACGCAGTTATTTTTAGTTGTGTAATTAGAATGATGAGTTTTTCATGCTTATTAGTGACAATAAATAATCAGATGACACACTTCCGTCACATATCTGTTTCTCCGCATAAAGAATAGATTTCTTTAAACAGCCCATCTGCCACACGGTCTCCTGGGAGTGCCTATCATATGTTTTCATTATAATTTATGTTTATTATGATCTGAGTTCGAGATGATATGGAATTTTGTGTTCCTCGATTTTTTTCGTCACGAAATCTGGGGCATCCCCGAGCTACTTGGGGGCCATAAGCTTTCGTTCGATCCACTTCTGCTCAGCGGCTCCTGAGCTGCGTCGTCCGCGTCTCTCCCGCAGGCTGCCAGCACGAGACGCGGTCGTCACTCTGGGTGCTCGTGCTCGTGGGGAACGCGCTCAGAGGCATCGGGGAGTCGCCCATCACTCCCCTGGGCATCTCCTTCCTGGACGACCATGCGCGCGCCGACAACTCCGCCTTCTACCTGGGTGCGTGCGGTCGGTCGGTGGAGAGGCCGGGCAATACGAGGCCGTCCTTCGGGGCTTGCCATGGGACATCAGTCATGTTTAGTGGTAATGATTGAAAGGGTAAAAGTGCAGTCCCGTGATTGCTTTTTTGAAGCTGTTGCTGGTGGAAGAGCCTAATCTCGAGGGAAGTCAACGAGAGAAGAGGGTATTTGGCCTACTCTTCCAGATGTTATCGGAAGAAGTGGGAGTGAGTACCCACACTTTACCACATCACATGTGATCTGCCAGTCGACTGACTGGTATACCCATTTATACTGCTGGGTGGAAAGAGGTGGAGGGTGGGTGGAGGGGATTTAAGAAACCTGCCCCATTGTTTCAGCTGCCCTGCCTTGCGATCGAATCGAACTGATAACCTCTGGATTGCAAGTCCAGTGTGGCAACCATAACACCACAGCAGCTTTGCCTTTTTGTAATATATAACACAGGAGGCACCTGTTGAGTTAATGATGCTTGTCTGTATGTGACCACTTGTATTTTGCCTTGCAGGTGAACCAAACGGTATTTTTGCGTGACGAAAGGCCATAGACATCTGATACAGCATGGGGATATTGAGCAGATCATGCAGAACTTTCTCTATGAATACAGAGGTCGCGGTCTCAGACTGTGCTTCTAGCTTTGTTCACTGTGACTAAGTGTGTGGCTACGAGCCATCGCGTGTCCACTATGTACATGTCAATGAACACCCTGGACACTCGCAAATGAAATGTTCCACCTTAACATATTTTCCTGGTGACTTATAAGCAAAGGAATCATTAACACTATTTAAAAATGTGCCAGCTCAATCTTGGACCATTCCCTATAAATGCGGAAGCTAGTGCTTAATTTGTCACTCGATAATGTCTTTGTGCGATGCATGTACACGCGCGTGTGTGTGTGTGTCTGCAGGATGCATCATGACAGTTGGTCTCATCGGCCCAGCTGTTGGCTATCTGATTGGTTCCTTCTGCGCGAGACTGTTTGTTGATCTGGGATTCATTAACATGGGTAAGGTTGGCCCAGATCGCTGGCTCAGAGTGGCGTCGCAGACATGGCTCCAGAGCAGGGGGTCTTGCAACCAAACTAATAAGAAGAGACATTTTTGTTAGAATTCGGTAAAAAAAAAAACCTCAATATTTCAAGAGCCCAAATGCGTGTTGCAAATGCGAGCCGGTGGTCCTTGATAAATGACGTCACGAAGCAGTCCTTAAAGAGCCGCAGGTTCTCAACTGGGGGTATGTGGACCCCTTGGGGTACGGGGCAATGTCCCAGGGGGTACGCGAGGTGATTTATACATGTGTCGAAATTATCTCGTACATAAAAGTCATTTGTGAATAATCATGTACGAATCTGCCAACATTTCATAATTGCAATAACATATTCTTGGATCTTTCGGTAAAGCCACGTAAATAGATCAAATAACAATAAAAAATAATATCACGTTTCGAGTGCAACAGAAGCAATCGTCATCAGGTGAGAAATATCGCGGGAGAGCTGCTGAGGATACATATATGGTGGGAGCGCTGCTAAGGCAGGGAGTTATAAAGGTTTGGGATGGGTGTAGCCCAAGGGTCAGTGGGAGGGGCTCGAGATGAAATTTGCATGTAAATGTAAGATCGGGTAAATTTTGACAAACGAAGCTGTGGGGGTGGCCATTGCATTGTGAAAGATTTTCATGTTAATGTAAGAAATTTGCTTGTAAATGTAAGCTCAGAGAGAGCTCGGCAAGAGCATCGCCACATGGAGGTGGAAAAGGATGGCAGGCCGCCATTTCCTAGCACAGCTGACGGTGGCAGTGTTAGTGAATGTAACTCAGAGAGTTGAAAATAACTGCTAACATAGGGAGGGAACATCACAGCCAGTTATGACCTAAACTGGTTAATAACGTCCTTCCAACGATTGCTCAGTTTTGGCAAGTTACCAGCAAGGGGGTAATAGTAGCCAAAAAATGGTTAAGAACCACTGCTCGAGAGACCAGAGCAGCGGTGGGGAACTTCCAGACTATGACTTCGCTTCACCTGGCCACGTGAGGCCTCCCACTTGCAAATGGTGGCCCACAAATAATATTGATCCGTCACTGCACAATTAAACAACGTTTCGCGGTGATACTGCGTTGGCAATGGTGCATAAGCACAAATCACAAATGTTCAACACAATGCAGTCGGTCAATAACACCGTGGCTCTGAAAGGAAATAAATAACCATTACGTCCCTTTTGCGCAAACGCCCTTCTTCGTAGCACATAGAGCTCCCTCTAGCGGAGGCAGTGGTGGCAAAAAGCAATTGAAGGCAGCAACCTTTACAGTTTACATTAACCTAAGTGATGAACCCTCACATGCCTAAATATAATTATATCTTGGAACATTGCTGGGATCTCTTGCTTTGAGATGAGAAGATGGATACAGGCATGTGTCAACAATGACTGGTCATTCTGCCCGTGCTTGCAGTGTGAAAGTGTGGTGAGCGGAACCTGAAGTAAAGAGGCCATGATAGCCTCATTTGCAAGAGTGACCTGGCTCACTGAGATGGCAAAAGCCATAACATGAAAACTAAACTCAAAATAGAACAAAAAGATGAATCAATATTCAATTAAACCTATTTCTAGTAGCGAGGAGGAGACATCTTTACAGAGTTCAGATCGCATCCAAAGCGATTCACTCTTTTTGTGTCATCATACAAACTATTTAAATTAGAAACAATTTTTTTTTACCAGGTAAGGCCCACTGGGCTATATAGCTATTTTTTAGCAACCTGGCCAGAAATGATAGCTCAACCAAGTGGTTTATCATGTGGAAAATTACAGCAGCCAAATACTCTAATCGCATATTGATTCTTAATGTGGAGAGAACAACCGGACGACCCGGAGAAAAATCCACGCGATCACGGGGAGAACACGCAACTCCAAATACACAGGCGTCAGGGTCGGGATCGAACACCAAGACCTCCTGTATACCAGGCGAGGTAGCTAACACGTCATAGCATCGCCCCTTTGCTGGCAGACTCATTCTCAGGCCTGTGTTGTGTACGCCATGTGCCGTGCGGGGACGGTTGCCACTGGTGGTCTCCTTGGCTAGAAAGCGTCAGGGCATTTAAATATTTTATGATGTAAAGTGCTTTGAGATGACGGGACGTACAAACAAACTCCCCATACACATTTCCCTCCATTTACGGAAGGGATACATTCTTCAAAAGAAACACGGCTTTTCCCATTAATTTAATCCTAAAAAGTAGGGTTGTGTTTCAGACATATCAACTCTATTCCTTATCTAAAAATATACACGAATATCACTTTTCAAAACACAATAATTCTAATAAAGAACTTGAATATTAAAACGATTGAATGGTATTTTTTTTAAACAAACATAATTTAACTTTTCAGGGAACTCACCAAAAAATATTCATGTTGGAATGGCTGGAAAGTTGATGTGGAGGCGTTACCGTTGCCCTGCAGGGCGCTGGCACAGATGGATGGCGCAGCTTCTTGGGTGCTTCTTGTTTGATCTTATGGGGCGTGCCGTGTGAAATTTTGTTCACGCAGAAATTGATTTAATTCTTCGAAAAGTGTCCATAATTTGTCAATTGCGTGAACGCGAAATTTCGTAAACCGAACATTCGCAAATCGAGGGATACCTGTACTTGCAAACCCTCATCACCTGTGTATCTCAAAACATTTACGTGCACTGCAAACGCAGCGCACCCTAACACCTCTTTCCCCTTCCCACCGTTGCCTGGACCCCCCTGGCCCTCCGCACCGCCGTGCCCGGTTGCCGCCGCAGAGGAGGTGACCATCAATCCGCAGGACTCCCGCTGGGTGGGGGCCTGGTGGCTGGGCTTCCTGATCGCCGGGGGTATCACGCTGCTCACCGCGCTCCCGCTCTGGTTCTTCCCGGCCTCTGTGCCCCACGAGAATGAGGAGGTGGTGGCGGTGGCGACGAAGGCGGGAGACGGGCGCGGAGACCTGGACGCTGTGAGCGCGGGCACAAAAGCTCACGAAGCAGCCGGCAAGGAGGAGGGCGCACATTCTGCCAAAAGCCAGCACGAGCCCGGCGCCAAGGAAGAGGCCGTCAACGCTCAGAAGGTCCTGCTACAGCGCGAGCTGGGGCAGAAACCACTCGCCACTCCAGTCACTATGGCGTCGCTGGCTAAAGGTGTGTGTGCCCCTACTTACTGGAGGGAGTGGTAGCGTAGTGGATAGCGAAGCTGCCACCCCAAGTTCGATTCCCACCAAACAGCTGGGAATCGAACATGGGACGGAGTGGTGGTTATCTGAACCGGCACTGAGCCTCTCGCTGGTCAATTCAGCCACAAATAAGTAACTGCTATGGTGTGCCTCGCCGAGTTCCTGGCTTCATAGGTGTTCGTTAACAGCGCTTGTAGATTACACGGGGTCTTTGTTTATGCCCTTACATGCATGGTTTACCCAGCAGCGTGTGGACACTCAGTAGCGAAGTGGTTCACGCACTCGGTTAGCACTAGGGACCTCCCCTAGGCAGATTTAGTCTCAAATGAGTGTCTGCTGTGGAACGTAAACATCAGCACTGTGGAGACAACAATCATGGCCAGCGGTGCAAAATTCTGGACAGACCTCTCAATCTGTCCCTTCTGTATGGGATAGAAAGTTGCTCCCTCACCTGCATGTTTTCTCCGGGTGCTGCGGTTTCCTCCCACGTGGACAACATCCATCAATTGTCCAAAAACATCTTAATATCTCGAGAACTGCAGACCTTGGGAAATTGTTGCAGCTGGCTCCCCACCTGGCTGTATTCCCGGTTGTTTATGGTTCCTCCTCGCGCCTCTCCTCAAATGATTCTCTCGTTGAGTGAGCAAATACTGCACGGCGATATGACAAGTCGACCGTGTGTGCGCGTCACGTGTCTGTGTGCGTGTTGCGGGGAGCGGTGGCGTAGCGGTTAGCGCTACGCTGCGCTATGAACCCCGGCGACCCGGGTTCGATTCCCACTCGCGGCCAACACCGGTGACGATTATCTGAACTGGTCCTGGACCTCCCCTAGATCGACTCGGCCTCAAAATGCGTGTAAACATCGCCACTTGGGAGACAAAGGCGGCCGGGCGTGGTGCTGATTACCCGCCCTCTCTTGTGACGTTCCGGCCTTCATAGGTGTTCACTAACAGCACTCGCCCCAACAGTATGTTAAAGGTTATATAACAGGGGAATCTTTGTGTCTGTACGTCACCCCTCCCTGCAGAGTTCATGCCGTCGCTGCGCGCGCTGCTCTCGAACCCCGTGTTCGTTTGCCTGCTCGTCAACTACATCTTCCTCATGAATTGGGTCGCGGGCTCTTCCACCTTCTCGCCCAAGTACATCCAAGAGCAGTTCGGACAGACGGCCTCCAAAAGCAACCTCGTCATCGGTTCGCACGCCACGCGCTCCCATTCCAAGTGACCTCCTGCTGCTCAAATGAGCTTCAGTGCTCATCTCCGGTTTGCGGCCATGAGCTGGCGGCGGAAATTTCACCTTCCTAATGCCATCGGAACAACCACCGTTGACTTCCCCGCAAAGTGGTACTCGTTTTATCGGAGCCCAGCGGTGGGCGGAGGGAACCCCCAGCCGGGAGCTAAGCTCGCAACGTTCTCATCGCGAGCCGCTTGCTCTACCGACGACTCACCCGGACGGTTAACGTACCCCTTTCCAAAGAAGCTCTTTGTTTTATAATCACAGTTACATCACAGTTCTCCTCGCAGTACCGGGCGTTCAATATGTACAATATATGTTGGTCTACATCGGCAAAGATGCCTGCGCCAGAGCTGCATGTGTTCCACGGCATTAAGACTCCCTTCGTTTTAAAGTGGTAGTAGTGGAAATTTGACTCCCACAGACTCACACCTGGATCTAAACTGAGGCTTCGATGCCATCTCTCACGTTCTGCAATTTGCGTAAATCCACGGCACGCACGCCCCTCGCCCAGCCTCACTCGCCCGTCTCCCACCGCCACAGGCGCGGCGAACCTCCCCATGGTGGCTCTGGGCATCTTCCTGGGCGGTGTGATCTGCAAGCGAATGAATCCCTCGCTGCTGGGCCTCGCGACGCTCGCTCTGTGCCACCGCCTGCCCGCGCTGCTGTTCATGATCATCTACTTCTTCATCGGGTGCAACGGAGCTCCCGTCGCCGGCATCAGCGTCCCGTACCAAGGGTGAGCGCACTATGGCCAAGCGGTCAGGAGTAACGACGATCGTTGGTACGTTTGATCGTCGCGCCATCCTTATAGGGCAAGGCTATCGTGAAGGAATGGCGCTCTTTGTGTCGCGGATATGTAGAGTCATGGCCAACGGAGGCTGATGCGGCTACGTGGTTTACCCCACCCCCCCCCCCCCAATTGGGTAACTTGTGGTGCAATTTTTTAAAATGAAACTTTGAGCAAAGTTGTCTGTCCACGCGTTGGGCAGGATGGCCGGCTCGTTGGGCGGGTCGCTGCTGGCTCCGTGCAACGCGCACTGCGCGTGCCCCTCGGGCGCGTGGGACCCGGTGTGCGGCGCGGACGGCGTCACCTACGCGTCGCCCTGCCTCGCCGGGTGCTCCGTCATGCGGGGCAGCGGCAGGGACACGGTCAGAGCCGCCATCCCCCCCCCCGCTACCCTCGCCGCAAGGCACTCAACCGGAGCAAAGGATTTGTGTGCGGGTGTTTGCTTACTCGCTTCCAAAATAGCGTCATGGATGTCAACGTCGTGAGGCGCCTTGTCCTTTTGTTGTTTCACGTTTGGAAGTTCAAGTTTGTTTCGTTTAACGAGGTGAGGACTCAAGAGGCCAGGATGAGTCTCATTTGGAAGAGTAACTCGCCCTGGTTCAACAAAATGACAAAAGCAGTAACATAACGACAAAGTAGTATAATGATGAAGCAAAAACAATGACGTTACAGAAGGAATAAAAAAAAGCGCGCCAACATAAAAAAACAAAACGTTAAATACATTTCCCGTAACGAAAGCTAGCTCGGACAAATTACTTAAAAAAAAACAATTAGTCGTAAAATACGTTACCCTCGGTTACATTCCTCGTTAATGACCCTGTGCTCATCTTCACAGCTGTTTCACCAATGCATATGCATTGGGAACTCCTCCTCCTCCTTCTTCTCCTCCGGCACGGCGACGTGGAACAGTACGGCCGCGCTGGGCCAGTGTCCTCATGGAGACGACTGCAACAAAAAATTCCTCTACTTCCTCGCAACGGCTCTCACGTCATCCTTGTTCAGCGCGCTCAGCTTCACTCCGGGTTATATGCTCTTCATCAGGTGTGCCGCGTTTCCACCCGCTTGCTCGGCACGAGGCCCGCTCACGCGGGCAGCACCTCCTTCACCATGAACTGCAGTGGGTTTCGCCACCGACCTCTGCTCGAGAACACAATTTTTTTTTTTAAACCTATAAACTATTTTTTTTCTTAAACCAGGTAAGGGCCACTGAGCTTTATAGATAGTTTTTTTTTTCAGCACTGACCTGGCCACAAACGATTGCTCAACAACGTGGCAAATCGCATCGACATTTATAGCAGCCAAATGATCTTAAAACGCTCGTTGATTCTAAATGTGGAGGGAAAAACCGGAGGACCTGGGGGGGGGGGGGGGAAATCCACGCGACCACGGGGAGAACATGCAAACTCCAAATTTATAGGCGTCGGGATCGAACCCACGACCTCCTGTGTACGAGGCGAGGTAGTTAACATCTCTTGCCACCATGGCACCCTGGCACAGTCAACACCGCCAACACCGGCACAGAGGGTGGGCGGGAAGGAGGGCAAACGGGACATTTGGCCCTGGGCATCACACAAAGGGGGACCTCACAAACTGGTCTAATATTTCTTTTTTCGTCACTAACGTATAATGGGGCCTAGCGGTGGCATTCTGCCCCAGGCCTCCAGCACCGGGCCTTCAGGAAACCCTACGGGCGGCGCTTAGCACAAGTAGCCAAACAGGCATCATCAGCAAACCCTTCACTGCAGTGTTGCGACCAGCATTGGATTTCACGGTTGCACTGTGCAGCTCTTGGATGCGTTTTGCTCGGTGTCGTTTGGCTCGGTGTCCGACGTTTCACCTCCACGTGCTGGGAGAATTTTAGGTAACGTTGGACCTCGTGCCAAACAATGCGCGGTACAAAAACACACACACACACCAGAGAAATCTAGCGGCACCATGACTCTGCCCTGTGCACTTGCGTGTGGGCGCAGGAGCATCCGCCCAGACCTGAAGTCATTTGCGCTGGGAATTCAGTCTCTGCTCACGCGAACCCTTGGTAAGGTGGACACAGCCACAGAGTATACTTGCGTACTTACACCGACCGGGAAACCCACCGCTCCTCCCCTTACTGTCACATCTCACAGTTCCACGTGCTCAGTTCACTTGGCCCATTTTCCCCATTCAATCTCTCGGCGCAATGTTTTTGGACCTGCCACCGAGAGCCGTAGCCAGGCATTGCGGTTGCTGTGGCGAAGCACCATCCTCGCGCCTTCCAACCACTCACCCCTTTGTCTCCAACCCCCCCCCCCCGTCCCGCTGCTGTAGCACGGGCACCACCCTCGTGAAAGCCTCGCCGCCACCCCTTGATTTGTTTCCCAACAATTCAGTGGCACATTCGGCCGGCGTCCCCTTTGGGGAAGTTCTGGCAAACGTCAGCAATGGAGCGGCGAACGCGCCACCGCTGGGCCGTGCCGGTGCCCCGCAGCACGAGTCAGTGACCGCGTCTCTCCTGCAGGCGGCATCCCCGCTCCCATCTACTTCGGAGCAGCCATTGACTCCACGTGCTTGAAGTCGACTGGCTCGGCCTGCAGCGGCAGGGGCTCGTGCCGCATCTACGACTCCAACGCCTTTGGGTTTGTCCCACAAACTCTGTCCACTAGGATTGCCACCTCCGACTTACAAAAGTAACTGGCGCGTACGAATATCTCGCAATAGCGGAAGAAGGGAGAACACGTAAATGCATTGTTTTTCGCAATACATTATTACGCAATTTGCAAACACCAGGATTTTGTTTACGTCCCAGGAAGACTAACAGGTATTCCTTGCTCTTTGGTTCTATTCGGTAAAGTCACGTATGTAAAGTCACGTATGTGACTTTACCGTATAGAACCAAAGAGTATGGATCCTTGCAGTCACGAAAGCTTCAAATCTAGGTATTCCTTGATGGCTACTTCAACAAGAGGACAATCTTGGAAAATTCGGCACAGGTGACAGTCCTACTGTACCACCAGTGTTAACTTCCCAACAAAGTGGAACTGATTTTATTCACCCCAAAGGGATAATTGGCTGAGTCGACCCCCCCAACCAGGATTTGAATTCGCAACCTTCTGAATGCGAGCCAGCCGTTCACCTAGCCGGTTTGGATAGGCGACCGCTTGGAGACACCATGTGGTAGGCGTGGCCTGTGACGTGACCAGGAGAGGACAGGAGAACATTGTGTTGGTAAATATTATCGTTCGCTAAGATATGAGTGTTATCCCCTTGTTATGCACGGGCTTTCACCCGATACTTGTTTCCTTCCGCGTGCCAAACGCTCATCGATGGAAGGAATTTATGGTGGGTGGTTGACACTGGGGTGGAGTGGCAGCCGAAAGACAAGATGTACCCGAGAGGATGACCACCACAGAGATGGAGAAAATCAGCTCATCTACAGAAGTGAGATGGTTTGTTGAATCACAGGACTGCAGGGGTGTCGACAGCATGGGGTGGCCTTCATCTCGCAGCGGATGGACTGTGGATTAGGATGACATCAAATAAGTATTTGTATCTGCTGTTTGATGCGTATTAATAAAATATTCACCCTGCAGTTAACCGTATTTAAGTAAACACATCTGTAATGAAGTTGATTCGCGTGGTAGTAACACAGGGCTGCATCCCAATGGCCCCATCCCACCCGTGCAGGCGAATTTACATTTCCCTCTTGGTGGCACTCTACCTGGCGGCGGTCGTCGCACTGGCCAACGTCTACCGGCTCATCCGGCGCCAGGCGAGGCAGGAGAAGGGAGCGCGGGCGGAGGAGGAGGAGTGCGCGGGGACCCAGGGGCGGGCCCCCGGCTTCAGCGCCGTCCCCACCGTCAGCGCGACGAGCGAGCAGCAGTCGCTCAAGCCACTGTCGGTGGTGGACGTGGACTGCGGGCCGCGTACCCACCTGCCCTCCACGCAGGACAGAGAGACGATCTTCTGATCCTCGCACACTGCCACAGGCACTTCCTACTTCGTCCGCGCGCACGCTGCTTGGTGCAGACGTTCGCTGTTCGAGCCGCAGTGGCTGGCCCTGGATAAAACAGCGGGTGCATAAACCAAGCGTCCTACGCGCTGTCTGCTTTGAATTTGACGTTAAAGATCCCGTGCAGTTATTAGAAAAGCGTCATGGTCCAAATGTTATTTTTTAAATACTCACAAATCACCAATTTTGGTAAAGCTACTGTACCCCTTACGAAGAGCCTTCCACTATAGTTATATCCAAATGTATCCATGGCCAGCAATCGAACTTAGGTTGTAAGGTTTATGACTCAGTGCTACCACTCCCCCATTTTTGGAAATGAATATCAAAATACCCATGGAAAATAATGTTCCATCTGGTCATTACTTAATGTGTTTCAGGAAATGGGAAATCTGGAGTGAAAAATTACGAATCTTTTTTGAAAATTCCAAATCAGAATGGGATTATTTGTATGCATGTACATTTATTTTAATATAACCAGAGGGCATTATTTGACGTTTCTTTTCCCGGTTTTTCATGGTGTAAACAGAACCACTTTCATTACGAATGGAGAAAAAAGCTCACGGTATTTGTAAATTTTCAACCGTGATGATCGAACCGTCTACAAAATTCAAACGCATTATCACCGTGACACCTCGTAAAATGTTTCCAAATACAATTTAAACAAGTTTAGTGTTCTGTGCGATGTGAGAAAAGGGCACTGCTTGAAACGTTAGTGTGAGGAACGTTTTTTTAATGCAGGAGGCAGTGTTTGTGACCGCTGTGTGGGTGTTTTCAGACTGTCCTTAAGTGGCCCGAGGGTCATATCTATCTCAAAACAAACTCAAAGCACACGTGTGTATATCGGGCTTAACGTAATTTCATATCAGTGCATCAAATATCATCTGAAAGTGGAGAACTTCAGTTGCTTTGAACCACGTGGGAATTTGTATTCTCTGAACGTGTAATAAGAGAAGTGTGTGGATGGTGGATGATGCGATCCATGTTTTTTTTCCCCCTTAAATTGTTAATATCCCACGAATTCCCTCACAGACACAAGACCAGCAATGCAACCTTCGAAGTGGCCTGTTTCGACTTCACACGCCACTTCCTCGTGTTCCGATGCGCAAGCTGACACAGTGTGACAGAACAACATCCTGGGCCGAACTCTTTCGCGTGGTACAGTCGGCCTGCAGGCTCAGTCTTGCCTGCAGAACTTGAGCGTTAAACAGCGATGCAATTGGGTATATTTTTAACGGTATGCCAATATTTTAGTCAAATTAATATGAATTGTTGCAATATACGATGTAAATCATGCGTATTGTTCAAATATATATGTAAATTAAGAATGTGTGATGCATTAACACGAATTAAATCAATGTTGCTGTGAATTATGGCTTATTGTTTCCATTACTAAATCACGCTTGCAAGCACGGCAGAGTCAACGTGATACTTTTACTCTTCACGATGTTCCACCATCAGTTGCATATATCACTGAAGTGCCAATGATTTAGTCCATAACTATTCCACAAATACGACACATTTCCATGTGACGATATCAGGAACATTTGATGCATGAACAACGGAACGTCCATCGTGCAGAAGGAGCGATGAATCGGCTCTGGGTAGATTTTCGCACAGCAAGGACGAGAAGAGATTGTTGATGGCTTTGGGAGGCGACAATCTTAGCAGTGGGAAGATCATGGCTAATAAAGATGACTCAATAATTATTGGTGATGATATGATCGCATGTTTACATTGTCAAATTTAAATTATTAATGTATTTATTTTAATACTTTCTTAATGCTGTTCATTTAGTATTGGACGAGTGGCCCAGCACTGAAGTGAGCGGCTGCATGCGGAAGGTTGCGAGTTCACTTCCTAGTTTTGGGTTGACTCGGCCCATCATCCCTCCGTTGTCGATAAAATGATTACCAATTCGTGGAGAATTCAGCAGCGGTTTTCCTCAGTATGGACTCGCCCCCCTCATAGGAACGTGGAATTTCCACCACTGGCCGAGGGCTGCGAACGGGTGAGCACTGCCCTCGAAAAGGCTAATTTGAGGAATAACTACTTTGACATTTATAACAGACGCATAAATATTTTTTGGAAATGTCTTAGTGTCTGCATGTGGTTATCTGGCTTGACCACTTGAATGTGAAGTTGTTTCTCTCCACAATAGAGGTGTTTTTTTGGGTTAAATCGCGAATTAACCCCCCTCCCCGCCAAAAAAAACATCCCCCTCTATTATGGATAATATTGGTCGCGAACGCCTCAGTGTTCAACGGACTGTTGCTCTTCATCGACATCGTCGGCCGTACGGAAGGAAAAAAAGTGGCGCCGAGGGATGGGCTTGGAGGGAGGGAGGAGGAGCAGCAGCAAGAAGGAGGCTGATTGCGGTGCTGATGCGGGTGCGAGGACCGCGTAGAGCGACGTCGCAACCGAGGTAGAGCGTAAAACCCTTTGACGCCGAAGGAGGAGGACTTAGAGGGTGCTGGGCAAAATCCCGGATCGCATGCGCTTCGGACTGAGAGCACGGGGAGGGGGTGGGGGGTGTCACTGCGCTGCGTTAACGAGGCGAGAGCGTGGGTGAGGAAGACGTTAGCGGCTCCAGGTAACGTACTGCGCGAACGGCACTTGGCCCCCCAAAAGTGCGTTGAGACTACACGGGGGAGTTTTGGTTTTGTGCACGGCGTGCCCGCGTGTGTTCGTGTGCGAGAGGGCACTGCGCGTCGAACGCGTGTCCTGTGTGTATGTGCGCCGATATAAGCGTCACGTATGCAGGATGGGTCATATTACTGTAACTGCTGGGCATCTGTGAAAAAGAGGTTTACATCTCATCGGATTCCTCCACTGTGAATGCACATTCTGATTGCTGATTTTAAAACGAGCACACCTGTGTACGCGTTTATGTCATGCGTGTTTAAAAAAAAGCGTCACGACAATGATGATGATGATGCTGCTGCTGCTCTTGATGACCACACAGGTAACTACTGGGCATCGTTCAGTGTCCACGCACTGCTGGCGTAGGGCTCGCGCTGCATGGACAGGTAAGGGACGATGACTGGGTATCAGTGTAATCAGAGAGAACAAAACGAGTGCTGGATCAATGGCAGGGTGCGCCCCCCCCCCACCCCCTACCCAAAACGTCGGGAAGCAAACAGTGGCTGGTGGCCCAAATGTTTGTAAGGCGACTCGCCCTAGGGGGCCCAACATGCCTATAAGCTCTGGGCCAGACTCCAGTTCTGTACCGTGGAGGAGACAAAGCCCCCCCCCCCCCCCCGTGTATTGTTCAAGAGGACTTCCCGGGGGCAAGGGGGGGGGGGTACGTGCTGTTGGCTTTGACGGACGGGGCAGTGCTCGAATACAGATGATGTGGTGGGGGACAGCGTGCGGCTGCGAGTGTCGCCCCAGCGTTGACATTTGCCCACCGCGCGGTTGGCTCCGTACGGTGGGAAGGACGTTCAAGATGCATGCGCGCACCAGCCGCTCAGAATCGACCCACGGGAGGCTCAATACCGCTCCGATATTACTCGCCACTGAGAATTATTAGTCAAGACCGGTAATTTACATTACATTTTCCCGATGCTACGACGGGATAAAATGTTATCCATAATAGAGGTTTATTTGGGTTAGATCGCCGGATCTCGCTGTCGCCTGATGAAGCTAGTTGTAATTACTGGCGAAACGTCGTACTATGTTTGTAAATGTTGTGGCTTGGCTCTCCAGCACACCGGTGTGCTGTACTAGTGACGAATTGGCCACGTTCTGTTTACAAATTGGCCACGTTCTGTAGTACGTGACAACCCTTACTAGTTGGCGGTGTCGGGTGGTGGCGGGTTTTAACGACACATTTATATATTTACGCGATCTAACCCAACCCCCCCCCCCCCTCTATTATGGATGATACTGGTCGCGAAAGCCTACGTATTAAAATAAAATGTTACCATTAAGAAGCTCACATTACTCCAACCAACAATTAATTGGAGAGACATTTTATTATTCTCTCTAATCGAGCTGTCCACAACTCCTCTAGGTTTCTCATGGATGCTGCCTCTCAAGCCGCTATTGGTTGTCCCATGAGCACCTGTGCTACCGTATGCAGTAATGGCATAGAGGAATGCGAGTTAAAGTTAAATTCAACCTATATCCTTAGTTTTTTCGGTAAAGTCACGTTGAAGGGAAACAACAAAATAATAATATATATATAAAACAATAAAAAATTCTCACGACGTTTCGACCATAACTCAAACGGTCATCTTCAGGTGTGTTGGTTTGCATAAATGCGCCGTTTAAAAATAAATTTATGCAAACCAACACACCTGAAGATGACCGTTTGAGTTATGGCCGAAACGTCGTGAGAATTTTTTATTGTTTTATATATTTTATTATTTTGTTGTTTCCCTTCAACGTGACTTTACCGAAAAAACTAAGAATATGAATTACTGCAGTCACGAAAGCTTTAAATCAAAATTTAAATTCAACCTGTTGAGGACCGTTAGATTAACACTGCAACCCACCTATACTTACCCGGCAAACACGGCAACCATACAATAGCAAACAATGAAACATACACGAACAGTTTGGGCTGCTGGCATGAAGCATTTCATGTCCTTTATTCGTCAGGTGTGGTCAGAAGGTGACCCTGTGCCGGTCCTCTCCTCGCCTCTCAGTGCTTGCGTGACATTGCACGCAAGTTCCACTTTTACGAGAGGCTTTAAGGTCGCACATTTTCGGCACGCTTTTCGAGTGACGCGGAGCGTGGCTCTGCACCTCATTCCCCCCAGGCCAGGATTTGAACTCACAACCTTCTGATTGCGAGCCACCCAACTTTAACGCTGAGCCACCTGGCTGGTTTGGCAGGTATTTCCAGTGCCAGGTATTTCACCTCATGTCCTGTGTCGAACGATGTATCGACATTGTTGGTGGTGTTTTTACAAACATTCTTCTAGCACTGCATTCAAGTGGTTCTTTCTTTGTTCACAGTGTACGCACATGACTGTAGCTGTGACGCAACAGTCATGTGCGTACACATGATTGTAGTGAACTATTTGTCTTTTGTAAACGTGACACATTTTTTTACTGTTTGGCCGTGTCGGGTGGTGGAGGGTTACGACACATTTATAAACAACGCGATCTAACCCAAAAACCTTTATTATGAATAATATTGGTCGCGAAAGCCTGCGTGTTAAACTAAGCTGTGATACTTGTCTGTTTTTATAGGTCCTACAACAGGCCAAGTTTAAACTACCTGCTCATGGTTCTAATCCAGCGGCCGCCCTGGTTATTACTGCCAGTGTAACAACGATGGGAATACAATACTACGCACTGTGTGCTTCAAGCAGCAGACGTCAAGAACCCCGGATGTAATTCGGCGTCAGGGTCAAAATATGCTAAATTCTACATTTACGCCGCATACCTCAGAGTCTCATGCCCGAGGTCACTCTTCAAATAAGACCGTCGTTATATTCTTGGTTCTTTCGGTAAAGTCACGTGGAAGGGAAATAATAAAATAATAAAAATATAAAACAATAAAATTATCGCGACGTTTCGATTGCAACACAAGCAATCATCATCAGGTGTGAAAAAAACCACAGCAAGAAATTTTGAAAAAAGTGCTGTGTTTTTTTTTCACACCTGATGATGATTGCTTGTGTTGCAATCGAAACGTCGTGAGAATTTTATTGTTTTCTTTTTATTATTTTATTACTTCCCTTCCACGTGACTTTACCGAAAGAACCAAGAATATGAATCCCTGCAGTCACGAAAGCTTTACATCGAAAAGACCATCGTTGTCTCTTGAGTTTCCACCTGGCTAAACAAAACAAACTTGAAACAGTTTGTGAGCAGAGTGAAGAAAAGAAATAAAAAGCGGAACAGCCCCCTGTGTTTGCGTACAGTTTGGATGGTGCCCGTGTCGATGTAAATTCGCGATGCCACGTGCCATCTGGTGGTGATGGTGTAATGAACGTTTTGTTAGAATCTCAGGCGCTTCTCAGACGTAAACGGCACGAATTGTATACGTACATTATATTAAACACATTCTGTACTTACGGTGCCTAAAGAGGTTCAACATGCAAACAGTAGCCAGAACACTGCATTGAACAATCATAATGTACAACACGAAAATAAAGTTGATGTTTAGAAAATTCACAAACGTTATCACTTAGAGAGAAAGATCGAACGATAAGACATCATATAAATAGAATATTACATTCTAGATTTGAAGCTTTCGTGACTGCAAGGATCCATACTCTTTGGTTCTATTCGGTAAAGTCACGTAGGTAAAAAATAAAACAACAAAAATCACGACGTGACTTTACCGAATAGAACCAAAGAGTATAGAATATTACAATTGAGCAATGTTATGCAGAGCTACAAAGTAAATATATACTGTATATATGTTCCAAGAATGAAACTGTGTCTTAGATGAAACAGTTGCAGATGCCACACTTGAAAGAGTCAACTATGCCCTTCACAGTATTTAAAGGGGATAGCTCCTGGACCAGATATTATAACCGTGGACATCATGAAAGAAGCAAAAACAGCTTATGGAACAGTTAATTAAACAAGTGACTTGATATATCTGTGGGACACAACACAGCTTAATCCGTGTATGTGTGTACCCGGGACAGTTATTAAAGGTGCCTATTTTGGAATAACACGTGGCTTGTGCTCTTTCTTTTAAGGTGAAATGGTGTGGAAGTTATCATGGAATCAAACGGACCTGCGCTTCAGATCATTAAACGCAACAAGATAATCATTCAGAAGTGTCTACATGGGAATCTGCACACAGCACTTGATCAATCATGTCAGGAAAGTATGGTTACGGACGATGAATACAAGACTGTTTTTGCTGAAGCTAACCCCGTGAAACAAGCACGGTATCTTGTTAACCTGATTATTGACAAGGGGGAGACGGTCTGTATGAAGTTTCTGCAGGTTGTACTGGTGCCACTGAGATCAGAAAGCCATCTCTTGGATGAGTGGATCACCGTGAATGAAGAGGAGCTGCTTGGAATGGGCATCAGAGTGAACAACACCGAGAACCATGTCATCCGTGGAGAAGCTTTCCGTGAGTGCAGTGATTTTTTTTTAGCTCTGACGCCTTCGTTAATCTCGCCTCTCTTGGCCGCCAAACCTGGCTTGGACACGTTAAGCCACAGGGCCACTGTCGAGGGTGGTAATTGGTCACAAAAGCGAATGCATGATTAACACACATCAGTATGTCCAAATTGGAACCCAGGATCTCAGCCGTGCCAGCTCGGTACTGTGACCTCTGAGCCACCCACCCACCTCTGGCATTCCATTTTTTTTATCGCAAATTGTTTAATGCGATCTCCTTCGCATCGTAAACTATGTTGTAAAAAATCCAAGGCTGGTGTGCTCAAACTTGTTGTCGTGTGTACTTACAGGTCTTACACGTGAACTTTATGTATGTATGTTGAACTTCTTTTGCACCGTATGCAGCCAACCGTGCTAATCGGAGGTGCGGAGGAAGGACAACAAACTAGATACAAAAAGCATTTCTAAAGAAATTCATTCGAATTTTAGAATTTAAAAGTGCTCTAGTGGCTTCCCAATATCGGAAGGAAGAGCGTTCCAGACGACCACAGAAGCACACCAGATGATAGTCCATTCCCTGCTCAATCAGTTACTTCTGTTTGTCCGCGCTCCTGATTCCACTGCTTTCACAAGGTTAAAGTTACATTTCTTCATTGCCCATGGAAGATTCCTTTCCCCTTTAAATGGGCGTCTTCTCATCCTGCCCCTTTAAGTGTTCGAAAGGATAACTCGAATGCATTATTGTAATGTATGAATGATTGTCGGTTGAATTTTTTCATGATTTTAATTTTGTTACACAACTGGACACGATATAATCAGAACTCAAATGCATGTGAAGTTCATATTATAATTTGCATTGAATTCAGTTATATTACTTTTTCACAGTATTATTCCCACTACATGATATTGATAACCTGCTATGAATTAAATATCTGAAGGCTATATACTATATTAACATTGCCTTCTGGTTTTTGTTACATTTAGGAAAACATATGAATAAATACAAAACGTATTTGAATAAGCTAACTGCGGTTTCACATGACTACAATTCGTTGCCTGGAGAATTCACATACTTATCAGAGAAGATGGTTAGTCCTGTGCTGGTGCATTACTACCACAGGGATGAAAAGAAGACGCATGAGTTCCTTGGAAGAGCCAATGACCACGAGAGGATGATGCAGGAAGCAAATTGCAATGGGATCACCTACCTGCAACTCTTTGATCCGATGGAATCAAACGGAGAGATACCTCGTCTGGTCGTTGTGGTCGGAGTCCCTGGCATTGGTAAAACCACCATGAGCAAATTCATTGTGAACAGATTGTCAACAGCTGGCGACATCGTATTTGATCAAAAATTCAAAAATGTTGTCTACGTACGATTCAGAGAGCTGAATGAAATGGGTGAAGTGTCACTCAAGGATCTGTTTGGAAACGTACATGCTGACTTGGGAAAGGTGGCTCATGAATTAATTGAAGACCCAGCAAAGTTATTGTTTATAATGGATGGTTTGGATGAATTTGGAAGGTGTCTTGATTTATCCAAGGCTTGTAATGATCCATACAAGAAAACATATGTAGAAGCCATCATTGCTGGTTTGGTGACGGGAAGGCTTCTGCTCGAATCCTCCATCCTGATTACAACGCGACCCCTAGCGATGGAGAAGCTGGATGAAGCAAAAGTGGACCGCGCTGTTGAAATCGCCGGGTTTTCTGTAGACGAGAGGAAATCATTTTTCCCCAAGTTCTACAAAGACAACGTGCTAGGTGACAGAGCATATCAGCTTCTGGAGCAAAACACACTCTTGGGTAGTTTGTGCTACAATCCTTCATTTTGTGAGATGGCAGCAATAACCATTGAGGATCAAATAAAAAATACAGGTACACCTGAGTTTTCCCCACAATCTACAACTGAACTGTTCACACGTTATATCTTTGTCCTCATCAAGCGCCATAGAAACAAAGCAGCAGGGGAAAAACACATTGCGTCTATTGCTAAAATGGCTTTAGAAGGTGTTCAAAACAACTTCCAGATATTCACACAAGCACACCTACAAGAGTTTGAGATTGAAGCTGATGAAGTTTCAAGCACATTTATCAATAATGTGTTTAAATGTGATGGCGTAAAGCGTGATACATGCTATTCATTTTCCCACCTGACACTTCAAGAATATTTTGCGGCCTTAAGTGTATATTTGCAACCAACACATTCATTCTTCAGACAGCTAGTGGATCGAATACGTCCATCAAAATATTCAGTTTCTAACATACTAATGAATATGAACAATGAACCAGACGGACGGTATGACGTGTTTCAGAGGTTCATTTGCGGACTGGCATCCAACACTCCCTGGAAGATCTTAGAAGGCGTCCTTTCTGGGCCATCGGCTGGTTCTCAAAACAAGGTCAAGGAATGGATCAGATACAACATAGTGAACCACATGGGAGACAAACAGAGGCTCATCAGTCTGCTTCATTGCCTGTATGAGCTACAAGACCCAAAGGCCTTGAGTAATGTCACTCGATCCATGACAGAGATTGATTTTTCACACACAAAGCTGTCACCGCTGGACTGTACTGCAGTCTCCTGGCTTCTGCAGTATCGAGATGAACTATTGGAGAAAGTTGACCTAGAGTCATGCGGAATCGGCACTGAAGAAATCAAGAGACTCCAGCCTGGACTGCACAAGTGTAAAGCATTGTGGTATTGTTGACATTTTATTTATATTACAAAGCAAAAGCCAATGCTTCTCTCTGATCAATGTTCATATTATCGAGATATTTATCTCCACCATGACAACAGACCCCCTATATGTTTATGCAAATTTTCAATTAGTCTATGAATGACTATCCTCTAACAGAATAAATAATTACCTGGGTGATTGTCAATTCATTTTAAAAGTAATGCTATTACTAATAAGACAGCACTCTCTCTCTTCTCCCGTGATGATGTGTTTAGGTATAACCATAACTGCACACTAATACATAAAACAGAATTGTTAATTGCAGTATCGTGTCTGCATTGATCATGTTTACATGATTGCTCATCTTAATCAGGTAACATGTTTGGCCTAGTCGTTCCCGTGCGTTCATTGACTGAGGGCTCTCCCTTCTGCCGTGCGTGTGAGTGTAGGCTTGGTGGAAACGACCTGAAGAATGAGGGAGTAAGGATCCTGGCGAACGGGATGAAGGGGATAGATGGGCAATTGGAAGTCCTTTTGTGAGAAACCACTTTACACCTCTCACCAAGTCTAGTTTTGTCTCAACATTCCACTTAAATTGCTAAGTTTCTATATATATACATTTTTACAGTTCCATTGTCGACATGTTCAGTTGTGTCGGTACGATGTTGTGTTCCACAACTTTATTTATGTTCCGTTGTTGGCATGGCTCTTACAAATAATATGGGAAACAACTCTGCAACTCTGTCCCACTATGTTGAAGTGACTCACGATATGTTCCGCTGTGTCGGCAGAACTCCTGCTTACAGTATGTCTCACTGTGGGGATGGCTCCCACTATATCCATCAGTTTTTGTAATGATTCTGGATAGGGCCCGCTACAATGTTAGTGTGACTCCCGCGATGCCCCCTGTGTTAGTACGCTGTGTTGAAGCAACTCCCTGCGAGAGTCGGCTCAGGTGTGGGAGCTAACGCCTCGAAGGCTAACGCCTTTAAAAGTGGTCCACTAGTGCAGAAAAAAAAGCCACCCGCTGAACATGAGACAGAGTCCAGTTACAGATTGGGGTTTCCCTAGATTCATTCTCAAGCTCATCTCTTAAATTGTCACTATCCAAATATAACATAAGCCGCAGTACAAGTGATACAAACAAGACCTCAACTCGTTTCATATCTCACCACGGTCCTACCGAGAGAGCAAAATTCAATGGGCAAAGGTCAAGGCCGAGTCAAAATAAATTACAGTTTTCCAAGAACAACACAAGGGACTTTGCAACGATTTGCGAGTGTTAAAGGGCAAGTAAATAACTCACGTCACGTGAACAAAGTACACGTTAACGGCAGTATAAATTCAATCTGGATTTGAAGCTTTCGTGACTGCAGGAATCCATACTCATTGGTTCTTTCGGTAAAGTCACGTAGGTAGATAAAAAAAAATAGATCACGAAGTAGGCCTGCTTCAGCAGTTTCCCTGCTGTGATTGTTTCACCTGATGGCAGTCGCTTGTGTTGCGATCGAAACGTCGTGATCTATTATTTTCTACCTACGTGACTTTACCGAAAGAACCAAAGAGTAAGGCAGTAGAAATTACTTGGTCGCGTCACAACACGATCAACACAGACTCAACGTTGTATTACTAAATAAACGCGAGGCTAATCGCTCTCACTGTCACGCAATTACTCATCTATCACACTTTCTCTGCCTTTTTAAACTCTGGTCCAGAGCACTGTATTAAACGAGATGGTGTCAATTGTACCTGACGAGGTTACGTATCGGTGTTCGGACGAAGTGGGTCACTCGTGTGGTGCAGACAAGGGGAATCTCGGTAGAGGCCCCACCGAGCGGTTTCAGGCTGACCACGATACACAACATTTTCTCTTTATCCCCGTATAGATGGACGCAGATGGTGGCGAGTCCACTTCTTGTACTGCCTTCTAGCGAGCCAGGGTGTGGGATCGTCGACGCCCATCGCAAGGCAGTTTCACATTTTTTTACGTGCGATCCACCAAACGCTCACTGCCTCCACGTGTGCTGGATTACAGGCCACGTGCATAGCCACCACCGCCCACCTAAGACGTCACAAGGCCCGTGATATGTCTCCCTCTTCGAGTAGTAACACTGCTGACATGCACGTCTGCATTCTCGTTAAGTTGAAATGACTCCGTTGTTACCCCCCCCCCCCCCCTAATGAAGCTGCTCTGTCCAAACATTAAGGCACACGTCCCACGGCTTTCGGCTTCCCTTCTTTCCCTTTAGCCTGATCGGCTGCTCACTGACAGATGATGTAGGTCCGGCACTCCAAGGCATCATCAAGGCCAACAAAGGATTGAGGGATCTCAGGTACGTTTCCATGAAGGCTCTGCTCTTTATTGCTGTTGCAAATTTGACGCATCTGCTCTGTGCGCAAGTTGTCGTTTGTTTTGTCTTTAGTGTTCCTGAGGTCAAGCGAGAAAGGGCAGTGTCTGAAGCAATTAGTGAAACTAAATATTCTTGCAGACTTCAATACTGACATATTTGAAAATAAACCAAACACGTGTGCGTGAAGGAATATTGTTAATATTAACAACAGATCCTTTCACATTAAAGTAGAAAACCAGAGTCTGTACTTGTGTGTAAAATCACTGGTCATCATCAGCAGCAGCAGCAATGATAATGTCACTGCTAGATGAAGACCTCACCAGGCTGTCGCCATCCTTCTCGGTCATGAGATGTAACTTTTTAAGGAGCTCCTGCACACAACACGCCATCTCCTCTTGGCCATGTTAACTCCTTTAAACAACACGCCATCTCCTCTTGGCCATGTTAACTCCTTTAAACATCTACAGCTTAGTAAAATGGCGCTGCGGTGGCGAGATGTTAACTACCTCGCCTGGCATAAGGAAGTCGTGGCCTCATTCCCGACCCTGACGCCTGCTCTATATTTGGAGTTTGCGTGTCTCTCCCCACCCGTGGTTGCGTGGATTTGTTTTTTGTCCTAGTCCTCTGTTTTACCCCTCCCCATTCAATGGCGGTGGGGGGAGGCTACCCCTCCAGCAATGAAAAATGATAGAGTTGTTAGTAAGTAAGGACTTGTTAGTAAGTAAGGAGTTGTTAGTAAGTAAGGAGTTGTTAGTAAGTAAGGAGTTGCTAGTGAGTAAGGAGTTGTTAGTAAGTAAGGAGTTGCTAGTAAGTAAGGAGTTGCTAGTAAGTAAGGAGTTGCTAGTAAGTAAGGAGTTGTTAGTAAGTAAGGAGTTGTTAGTAAGTAAGGAGTTGCTAGTAAGTAAGGAGTTGCTAGTAAGTAAGGAGTTGTTAGTAAGTAAGGAGTTGTTAGCAAGTAAGGAGTTGCTAGTAAGTAAGGACTTGTCCCATGATTTTTATTCGACGTGTGTGCGGCGATGGAGCAGCCATCGATCGAGGGTCGAATTCGAACCGCGTTGTGTGATCGGCATCGCGCTCGCTGAAGGTGTCGATGCCTTCAGGGAAGTCGTGTACTGTATACGCAACTGCGCACAATTCTGAGTCGCTTATAACTGCTTTGCCGTTACTTATTGCCAATTATGGACTCAGACTATTGTTCTATCATCTCGTAGAGTCCCTGGCAAATAATAATATGCTACACAGTGGCAGTGGGGGTCGCAAAATGCCGATTTATTACGAATAAACCCCAATGATCCGATCGAAATTAGAGATTTCGATCGGATCATTGGGGGGGGGGGGGGGCACGTGCCACCCCACCCCCACCATTGTCTCCGCCAGTGTCCCCATTTAGAATCAACATCACGCATTAAAAGCACAGGTGCCAAATGCACGTCCCGCAGGCAACACAGTTGGGCGTATGAAAATGAAAATCATAATAACACGGTATTTACCGAACATCACGTCAACCACCCGCGTAATGTGAAAAGCACGTTGATGAATACAATGGTATGAATAGCTGCTCAGTACTGCGGCGGCTAGCTTCCTGATGCCCGACAGCTCTTTGTTTGGACCACTGCATCGAAGTTCTGAACAGGCGGATTGTGCTGTTGCTACCTTCATTTGCTGGCCGCAGATCGAGCGCGTTGGCTGTCCATTAACCTCCACGGATAAATACGAATTCCTCCACTCCTTATCGGCCTTCCTTTTTCTTTGAGAACATAATTAGGTTGCACGACTAATATCACAATCCAAAAGCATCATTTTTTTTCCGCGCGTTCGAATGCTTTAAATTGAAACCGGAAATTTAAACGAAATTTTGTAACTGTTGGAGTGCTGAGGATGGTCGTGTCGGTACGAGGTTGCGTGTCTAGAAGCAGCTGGAGGAACTTCCTCGGATATCTAGGGACACCGGTGCAGTGCCGGATTATCCTTGTAGCAAAAGTAGCTACTACATATGTAGTAGTAGTAGCTACATATGTAGTAGCTACATATGTAGTAGCTACTACATATGTTTGGTTGGTTTAAATTCTAGTTGAATTTAGGTAGACGTTGAACAAAAATATACGTCATTAAACATGTAATAATAAGTCGTAAAGTTGTGAACACGTGGCGGGCTGGAAGGAAGGGGCTTGGGTGGCCTGGTGCGGCCACGTGTTTGACACCCCTGGTTTCGATGATTTGGCTACTGCTATAAAAGTCCACCTGATGATAATCAACTTCGTTGAGCTGTCATTTGTGGACAGGTCGCTTCTGGAAGAAAATAAATCTACGTAGCTCAGTGTGCCTTTCCTGGTAAAATAAAAAGTTTAGTTACGACTGCTTGCTCGTTATTCAGTCTCGATTACCCAATCTTAATATTGTAATAACTTATACGAATACTACATTCAATAATGTGTGCCGTTCAGTATTTTTTTTGTTAATGCTATATTATAAGTACTTTTATGTTGCATAACAGATTCAAATGAAATGTGTAAATAGCGGAAATGTAATTGTTGGTGAAGCTCATGCTCGTCTCCGGCATTCGTGTGGGTTCAGGAAAACATTGTCTGTCTCTTGTCCCGTCAACGTGGGTTTAGGCTGAGCGGCAACCAGATAAGAGACGCAGACTTCCAGCTCCTGGCGCATGGAATGGCGCGGAGAGAAGGGCGTTTGGAGACGTTGCAGTGAGTGTCATCCTGACACCGCTTGACCATGTTATCCCCCCCCATCCCCACCACGTGATGCAACATCGCCGATGTTGAACAGCTCCACACGTGATGAGTCTATAACCCTCTTGTATAAAACTAAGGTCCCCCAAGTGGCCTCCAACAAGGGTGTCGGGGCAATTGCCATTAGCGAGGACCTAGTAAGGCTGCCACAGCGGAGGGGTGGATGGCAAGCACCACGCCTGGCCGCCATCTCAGTCTCGCACTGCATTAGGTACTCATTTGAGGTTGAATCGACCTAGGGGAGGCACAGGGCCTATTCATGTTCTACAGATGTAGATGCCGCTGGTTCTTCATGTTCTGGAGATGTAGATGCCACCACCGCCATCTATTGCACGGCGGTTGAACTTTCGACTTTCAGTCCGAACAGGCAACCGGACATATGGACAGGTTTTGTTCGTATCTCTGAAAGTTCGTAAGCAGAGATGTCGCTGTAGCGTGTAACTGAAACTCAAGACGCTCACCAGAAGCAGTTGAAAAACACAACTTCACAGAGTAAAAAAAAATTATAAAGCCGTCCCCACGGCTGCCGATGGATACGTGGCAACTCCTGTGAGAGTGGCAAGGACCCAAGGCAAGGTCCAGGAGGCAGCACCGGACCCAATCCTGAAACAGCGCAGGAGGGAGGTTGGGAAATAAAACGATACGGTAATAAGATAATTAATATGTCGTGTTGTCGAGGGACTTAAAGGAGACAGGTTTCAGGATGTGGCAAGTGGTAATGTTCAGCGTCAGCTGCCTCCTCGCCTCAGGGGAGAAGGTGGGGAGCCGAAAGCAAACAACATCAAACTGGTCTTCTCTCCAAAACCTGAGGTCTACCCTTCATTCCTCACTGCTAGATTCAATATTTACTTCCTCGCGTGAAATTACACCTGCGGATATTTTCGGAAATACCATGTGGTTCAAACCCTTAGGTTTTGCCTGTTTCCCACTCTATGCTTCTGAGTGATATGTCGACATTTGATGTGTTTACGTGCCTTATAAAGAAGACAACCAGCAGTTTACATATCCAATAATTATTTTTAACATCTACAGTTCATAAAAATAGCCATATAAATTCCTGGATTCTTGTAAAGTGTATTCGATAGGCGGGGTTTCAAACATGTAGTAGATGTAATGCAAACCTCCATGTCACGAGCCATGGAAGGTGGGAAGTGGTCAATATTGAATATAGCAATGATGAATGTTACATGTGTTTAGGTACTGTTACCAGTTGGATGAATGGCAAGCTTGTTTCCGCATTTAACCCAGTAGGAATTGATGTTTGAGTCGATTCCAGTTAAAGTGAGTTTGTGCTCAAATGAGCATTGAGATGAAACTCAGCCCTGAGGCAGTCGTGGAAATTCCACATTCCTTTGGTGGAATCGAGCCTATTCATAGGGCAACCACTGTTGACTTTCCCAAAAAGTGGTACTCATTTTATTATGTCTGGAGGGATGATGGGCTGAGTCAAACGCCAGCTAGGGTTTGAACTGCAAACTGCCTCGTGCTACCACGGAGCTACCTGTCAAGTTCTAATTAAAGTATAATTAAGAATGAGTTTGGAGTTTGTAAATGGAAGCAATATGTCACGGAATGAAATACTAAAGTAATCAGGTGTAAAATGAACTAGATATTTAACTAAATTACAAAAGTTACTCATCCAATTGCTGTGGAATGTAGCACACAACTGAGCAATACAAGTTCCAGGAGCTGTATAGTTTTGAGCAAAATGAGCTATTTATCAAAAGAGCCATTATCAAAAAAAGCCTTACAAAGTTGCATAATTTTCAGAATGGTCCCACATTGAAATATTTGGCAAAACCTATTTTATTAAGGGGTGTTTTTGCACGTGGCTGGATACCAAGATAACGTTCAAAGGTATACATAGATAGATGTATTAACGCCCTTGCTGGACTACCATCTCTTGACCACATTGCAATCCAGTTGATTTTGGAGTTTTGACAATCTACATGTGATTCATGGGGTGTTCAATCACTGTGCGATGAACCCAATGATCCGAGTTCCATTAATTGCTTTGTCCAAGTTATTTCTTGTTTTCCACGTGGGATTTTACTGATTTTCTCTCCCTTTAGAATTAATTACTGCGCATTGACGGACCAGTCATGCCGTGCAGTGCGTGACATCATCAGGGCCAACTCATGCTTGACGAGTCTCTGGTAAGTTCTGTGTGAAGGAGCTCAATTCTTATTTTACCAGGTAAAGCCCATTGAGCATCGAGCTCTACGTTCAGAGGTGACCTGGCCACATGATAGCTCAAAGAAAGTGGCTGATATCATCACATGCGGGAATTTAAGTAGCAGCCAAATAATCTCAATGCACGTTTATTCTAAATGTGGAGGGGTTTAAACCGGAGAACCCGGGGATAGATCCACACGACGACCATCGGGAAATAAAATACACGGACTCCAAATATACTACATGCGTCGTCAGTGCCCGGGATCGAATCCACAACCTCCTGCGTACCAGCCGAGGGAGATAACATATCCTCACCACTGCGGTGCTCTAAGTTACTGCCGGTGTGTGTACGTGATAACTTGAATATGTTTATAAAGTCTAACTGATGTGAAGAGGAATGATTACCTCTAAAAAGTAAATTATATTTATCAATGGTCAAGGACTTTCTTTACAATACACGGAGCACCATTTCAAACAACTTTTATATATCAACATGTAATAACTCTCCATGTAAAATATCTAGATTTTTCCACAAAATGGTGTAGTAATAATTGATACTATTGACATAGAAATAATGTGCTTATAACATTGTCTGTGATAGAAATTGGGGATGCTATCTAATGCATGCAGTATAGTTTGCCTGAGTGACTCGTATACATTCTCATGTTTTGGAATGGATAGAAAGCTGAAACATGGCAGAGATGAATATATGTGTGCACATATAAGTGAAAAGATTTGAAAGCTAAACTCCAGAATGTGAGCCTCTGAAAAAATGATGGCCTGCAGATGGATGGTCTTCACTCAAAAAGAAGGATCAACATACACATATCTCAATTATTTAAAGTGTCTTGCTAAACACCAATAAATACACAATCCCTATCATCAGTGAACCGAGTAATGTGTCTTCCATGGAGTGTGATCCTGAAGCCAAGAAAATGAAGCCTGCTGATTCTGGAATTATGAATGCTGTGCTCTGTATTAACAAAACATTGTTTGAAAGCAAAATTACATGTGTCTTCATTGCTTATCTATGTCATGATATTCATCAATAAATATATGAGACCCTACATTTATTATGGATTCAGTGAGACAGGGCTGTTATTTCTCCCATACACGTGAGTTTAGGCTAGGTGGTAATAAGCTCAAAGACCAAGGAATCAAGCTCCTAGCGGAAGGGATGGCGGGGAGAGAAGGACATTTGAAAGAGTTATTGTGAGTATCAATTTGATAAGTCTTCACTTTGTTCAATCTGATGCAGAAATTCACAATGCACCGTCATTTTGCATACAAAGATCGCCTGTATAGCCCGAACAGACTGTTGAGGCTTGTGCTGTTCGAGAGCACCTATGAAGGCAGGCACATCAGGGAGTGGGAGGCCAACACCATTCCCGGCCGCCTTTGTCTCCCGAGTGGCGATGTTTACACATCACACCAGGTACACATTTGAGGGTGAATCGACCTAAGGGAGGCACAGGACTGGTTCAGATAGTCGTCACTTGTGTTGGCCGTGAGCAGGAATCAAACTCAGGTCGCCGGGTTTGTAGCACAGCGATCTAACCATTGCACTACCGCTCCCCCAATTTTTGGCATATACACACACACACATGCTACAAACATTCGCTCACACGTAAATACACACAATACAGTACATACACGAATATAAATGAATATGATACGTAATCCTAAGAAGGGCCATTGTTCAAAACAGATATTTTTTTATTTTAAAGATGGGATCCTCGAGTATTCTAGATTCTGAAATAATCACTACATATTAAGTAACCACTCACCACTACACTACTGTTCCACAGAATCATACAGGCACAAAGCACATGTTAAATGCATAACAAATGCCGTGTGTGGTGTATTATAACAATTAGGTTTCTTACCTAGATATGCAGAATTTAAATTTCTATTTTATGTCTTGGGTTTATTCTGGGCACTGATTTTCTTCCACATGTAAACATACTTATAGCGTAGCAAAGTCTCAAGAATTAGTGTTCCTTCATGTCTCCAGCCAATTCCATCGGGCTACATACTGAAAACACAATTCATATTGCCATAATTTTTCTGTTGTAATCTGTTACTCCCCCCAAAAAATGATTCCACTTCACGAGTCATTTTCACAACACAAGGTCACGTTCTTAACATCTCTGGATGGAATGGAAGAGCACGCGGCTGACATCATTGCTGCCATGAGGTTCCTGGGGGCCAGGAACTGGAGGCCAAGGGGCATAATTTCACGTGGGGCCCCCTTATTATTTTGCACCAAAATCTCACATTTTTTGTGAGTGTCCATTTTGTGACGCCCAGGCCAAATATCCTCCTCTATGACCCCCCCCCCACCCTCCCCCTGCCTCTCAGCAGCCTTGACTGACACATTTGTTTGATCACTCTGACGTTGCTTTGTCAATGTCAATGCACGTTCCATGTCGGGTTCATATTCTCTTCTTTCGCTTCAGCTTGCAGGAATGCTTGCTGACGAGCATGTCAGGTCCTGCACTCCACGACATCATCTATGCGAACCCAGGCTTGAGGGAACTCTGGTAAGTTCTGCGTGTAAGGGACTGTGAAGGCTGTGCTCTTGCTGCTACTGCTGCTGCATGTTTCAAACACACGCATACACTGCAAGTTAGTATTGGTTGGTATCTCGCTCTGTCTCCATCACTCTTGAATGTGTATGTTTCTGTGTCTCTATATCTCTTTTCGTGTGTCCATGTTTTTCTGTATCTCTATATGCCTCGTTATGTCGATGCCTCTTTATCTCCCCGTGTCTCTCTATCTCTTTGTCACTCTGAATTTATATGCCTCTCATTGATTGTCTCCATGTATTCCTGTCATTCTCTGTCTCTTTGTGTGCCTGATTTTCCTCATCTGCTCAAAACCCACAAGTGTTGAGGCAGCCCTGAACCCAGAGGCCCAACACGTGCACATGGAATAGGTCTGGCCGTCACCACCAACACCACCATGACCAAAACCTTCCTAGTGATCAACACTCTACCAATACCAAGACCAAGACCCGCCATTCACCACTAAGTGACGGTGTTATCACCATGGCACCTGTGCCAGGCCAGGTGCACTTTGAGTCCACGTGAAGTGTCAAAGGCTTGCTGGCAGGAGGTCACGGGACAAACCCAGGTGCCATGGGTTGACTGACAGAGATGATTGGCGGATGCACCACCTGTGCCCCCTACTGTGCCAACTTGCTGCATATTAGCTGCCCGGCGCTCTGCTCGTTGTTATGAGCATCGCTCCTCCACCTTTTGTTGTTGAAGGGCGACTGCCTCCAACTGCCCGGTAGCGTCCTTCACGAGCCTCCTCCACAGAGGCCGATCTTGACACCGCTGGCACCAGTCATCGGCAAGTCCACTCAGCTCCACATCCTCCCGTACCGCATCAAACCATCTCTTCTCCATCTCGTGTCGTGCCTGTTTAGTCCCCTCTATCCGGCCCCACCACCACCATTATAATCACCACCACCACAAGACTACCGCAATCACTTCCATTCCCACTGCAGGATTATTGTGATTGCCCAACAATATTTAGATATTAATCATTACACACCACATGGTGTATAACACGACAAACCTTCCCGCTCAAAACTCGAACGATTAATAGTTCGAGTAGTATTGGCAGTATCAGTAGGAGCATCAGTAGTGGCCGTAGCATTCTTGGCAACATCAGTGTCCTTGGCCGTTTCGTCAGCAGCACTATTCGTGGATGTTGGGTCTCGCCTCAGTCTTCACATCCCTCTGGACTTTCGTAGCTGCTGCCGTTTGGTGTTCGTGTTGGTGTCGTCAGCTCTGAATGGGCCCTAAATCGAGCTGTGAGGATCTCCCTGAGGCTCAGTGTGAACCCAACTCAACGCCAGCCTCCTGCGTGTGTGTGTGTGTGTGCTGCAGGTTGAGTGGCAATGACTTCCGTGCAGAAGAGAAGATGGAGTTGAAGAGCAAATGGACTCACAGAGAAGATCTGAAGATTACATTTTAATCTGAGAATACCCAGACGTTGGCAAACTAACTCAGAGCAGCTCCGTTAATTTCATTTAAGTGGTTTTAAGCAATTGGAGATATCCACCAGAGAGACGCAATCAGAACAGACAGATGTTAAAAGCTGGACAAAATGTAAATGCTGCGCTAAACTTGAACTTCTTTCACACCATACGTAGCCAACTATGCTAATAGGAGGTGCAGGGGGAAGAAAACATAATATCTACGTATAAATAATTAAACAAAGAGAGTTCATTCAATAAAGAGGTGGAAAAGAGCAGATTGGAGCGCTTTTGAAACTGGATAATGTATGCAACATAGCCATGTGAAGTAGAACGTCTTTGATTAATCACTCTCTGCTATGACACATGAATCAATAACATGGTCGTGAATGAAATAATTTAAACTAAAAGTTAACACTGTACAAGGTAGCAAGGGTAGATGTTTGCTCAGAATCGCATTGAAGCAGAAGGGGGGGTGACATGTTTTAGATAACACAAGCAGGTGACACGCACCGTGAAATGTGTTGCAGTGAACGTCAACCGCGGAGAATGGAGTGATAGACTCGGCTTCGTGTGCCGGTGCTAGGCGCATTGTTACAAGAAAGGATCGTGACATATCGCGATGGCGTGGGGGAGACCTTCATCCAGCAGTGGATAGAGCACGGTTGATGATTGATGATCAACGCTGGCCCCCGAGCTGCTATTGACGAATGTGTTGGGTAGTTTGTTTGTTTGACAAGCTGGTGCCGAGTTGACAGACACGCAGTGGCGTCTGTAAGCTGCGCGTGAAGGCGACGCTGCAGGTGATTCGGTGAAGTGTGTTAGATCAATGTACAGACTCGTGTCAAGCCATACGGTTCACCCATATTCTTGGTGCAGGGAAGTTGAGGTCCACACGGCGTACAGGCGTTTCAATACGGGCAAAAATATTTTTTGGGGTCTGTTTGTGTTTCTACCTTGTTATGGGGACTTTGTAGGATTAACGTTGAGATTTATAAGGGGCACGGGGTGACCAATAAGGTCTGAATTGGTCTGTAATAATCAGGTAGGCACTGACAAGGCGTCGATAGGTATGAATTTACACGTTTCTTTGTTATGCGCCCGCTATTGGCACGACGCGCCCCAGCGCGTTGGGCAGTGGTGTGCGCGGATCGCGCTGCCAAGCGAATCGTTCGTCGGGGAAGCGAGGTTTTTGTCGCGATTCCTGAGGTGCAGTAAGGCAACCGCAAGCCTCGGGCATCTCCTTCTCGTGTGCCAATCTTTCGTAGATCCTCTCCGCGCCAGCGTTTGTCTTGTGCACGGATTTGAAGGCGCCACCATCTCCAACTCCGTCGTCCGATTACGACGACCCACCCCCACTTTGTCTGTCTCTCTCTCTCTCTCTCCAGTGACCCCACCACTCTCCACTCCTCCCCCCCACCTGACCCCACAGTACGCCACTGCTCAAGCATCTCAGCACGTGTCAAAACTAGATTCGGAGCTTTCGTGCCTGCAGGAATGACTCTTTGGTTCTTTCGGCAAAGTCACGTGGAAAGAAATTAAAGAACTCCTCCCCAATCGAAACGTCGTTTTCTATTACTATTTAATTTAAATGATTTCTACGTGACTTTACCGAAAGAACCAAAGAGTAATCTCAGTACGTGTCAAGAAAAAAACTTTGTTTGCAATAACTTTATTTTTTTATACTCGTTATTTCAAATCGGCTGTGGCTATATTTAATGGGTGCATGGTCGTGTCGTAAATATAATATGTACTGTAACCAGTGAAATATGTATGCGTGAGAATGAGGTTCGAGAGCGTGCTGTCCCTAAACATTTTCTTTATTATGGGAAAATTTTGTTCAATTTACGCGATTTTGAGTTACGTGCCGTTTTTCAGGAACACAACCCCCGCGTAAAACGACAAGTAGCTGTAGTTTATTCACTCCTTCCTTACTTCGGTTCGCCAATGCTATCAATGTACATATTTTGTTAATCTATAGCGCATACAGCTGTAGCAACTGTTCAGTATAATACATTATTGACATGTTAAAGTTTCAGGAGAGAACGGAAAAACGTTCATGTTCACTTAATAATTGCTCAATTATGTCATGAAAACGTTCCTTAACCCTCGCATTTAGTTAACACAATGACAATAACGAATCCCAAATGATTATTCACCAAGACATTTACAATGTAATACCACCGCAAACATTGGTAGTTCATCTGTGTCCCCATCAGATGATGCTGGATGTAATTACCAGCTAAACGTCGTACTCAGATTGTAAATGTTGTGGATTTACTCTCCAACACACCGGTGGGCTGAAGTAGTAACTATTTGGCGTTTTGTTTACGTGACAAATCCCTCACTCATTGGCTGTGTCGGGTGGTGGAGGGTTACGACACATTTATACTTACGCGATCTAACCCAATAACCTTTATTGTGAATAATATTGGTCGCGAATGCCTACGTGTTAAACTGAGTTGAAGAAGTCAACAATTTTCGAAAACTGAGCACCGTGGAGCAACAAATAATGTCCACAATTATTGACAGTATTTTAGTTTTTCAATGTGTTTACAGTACTGTAGTAACAAATTAACGTGCTGTACAAAACGTATTTATAATAAAACAACTTGCGAAATGTATTATGCTTTATATTTACAGAGAAGTACACGTGTATGATTTCCACGAGCAGAATTTGCCGTAATCACTTGAGATGAAATGTTGGCTTCATAGGATGCTAGTTTACACGACGGTAGGATAAACACAACTCCTCTTTCCCTTTGCGGAGGTGAACACCATTAGAAGCGTGTTCGAGGCTGCATGACTATGGCGGCATTCCGCAATAAGGAGATTGAACGTGATGTACAGAGCGTTGAGACAAAACAAGCAAGCACCCTGTCGCACATATTCTGGCTTGCGACTCGCCGAGACCTTTCGGTGTCCCATGTGAAGACCGTGGCGTTGGACCCAACATTTCAAAAATTGTAAATAACGTGAATTGTAAATAAACGACGTTCTTGTTCCATAACTCAGACCCTGTCCCTTGGGAGTTCTTGCAGTGTCAGAGCTTGTCCTGGTCCTCCGCTATGTTGACTCGGCCATAAATGAATGATGCAGTGTGCAAACAGCAGCAGGGAGATGAATGTGACCAGGCGTGATGCTGGCCACGTCACCCCGTGTGCCATGTCAGTCTTTACTCTATAACAGCACTTGCCCCAACAGTTAATACGGGTTTTTGTATGCGTGGGCTTTTACAAGTAATATGATTCGTCATTGGTTTATTTTGGTTTAGATTGTCGTGTAGGTATAATGATTCCACCACCCGACAGAGCAGATCAAATCAAGATGTTACGTGGGCAAATGTGCCAAACGCTTTTGTGGTGTTTTTGTTGTTAATACTTTTTTGTTTATAGTGAAGGGAAAGAACCGAGCTGCAGACGAGCGGCAAAGGTATTCCATAAACGTGCAGCAGCGACGCGGATATACTCTTCACCTAACAACGTTGTGTAGCGAATGGGAAATTCTGAGGCTTGATTCGGCGCGCGTTCAGTCCCAGCCGACGAGGTGACTCTCATCTGTTGCGTGTAGTCACTTGAAGATGTTTCTTGTTCATGTTTTTGTTTTGTTGCGGTTGCACCCGAGTCGAGAGCCGTATGGCTCGCAGGGTTATACCTAATAAATGAAACTGAAAACTGAATCCCATGGCCAATTGAGGCCCAGTTGTCAATCTGCCGCGTTTGAAGCGAGAATTGGTTCGTGCAGGCGTGGAGCGAGACACGGATCGCTGCGGGCGGGCGGGCTGGAGCGTGCGGCGTGGATATAAATCAGCGGGGGGAGGAGGAGGAGGAAGCACCACACAGGGGAGCGAGAGGAGACGCTACGGAGGAGAGTGGCACAGCGCTCTGCGTGCGGGCACAGGTGAGTGGCTGCACACACACACACACAGGTGAGTGGCTGCACACACACACACAGGTGAGTGGCTGCACACACACAGGTGAGTTGCTGCACACACACACACAGGTGAGTGGCTGCAGACACACACACAGGTGAGTGGCTGCACACACACAGGTGAGTGGCTGCACACACACAGGTGAGTGGCTGCACACACACACAGGTGAGTGGCTGCACACACACACAGGTGAGTGGCTGCACACACACACACACACAGGTGAGTGGCTGCACACACAGGTGAGTGGCTGCACACACACACAGGTGAGTGGCTGCACACACACAGGTGAGTGGCTGCACACACACACAGGTGAGTGGCTGCACTCACAGGTGAGTGGCTGCACAAAACACACAGGTGAGTGGCTGCACAAAAACACACAGGTGAGTGGCTGCACTCACACACACAGGTGAGTGGCTGCACACACACACAGGTGAGTGGCTACACACACACACACAGGTGAGTGGCTGCACACACACAGGTGAGTAGCTGCACACACACACAGGTGAGTGGCTGCACACACACAGGTGAGTAGCTACACACACACACAGTTGAGTGGCTGCACACACACACAGGTGAGTGGCTGCACACAAACACACAGGTGAGTGGCTACACACACACAGGTGAGTGGCTGCACTCGCACACAGGTGAGTGGCTGCACACACACACGGTGAGTGGCTGCACACACATACAGGTGAGTGGCTGCACACATGCAAGTGAGTAGCTGCACATACACACAGGTGAGTGGCTGCACACACACACAGGTGAGTGGCTGCACAAACACACAGGTGAGTGGCTACACACACACACAGGTGAGTGGCTGCACACACACACAAGTGAGTAGCTACACACACACACAGGTGAGTGGCTGCACACACACACAGGTGAGTGGCTACACACACACAGGTGAGTGGCTGCACAAACACACAGGTGAGTGGCTACACACACAGGTGAGTGGCTACACACACAGGTGAGTGGCTGCACACACACACACAGGTGAGTGGCTGCACACACACACAGGTGAGTGGCTACACACACACACAGGTGAGTGGCTGCACACACACAGAGGTGAGTGGCTCCGCGCGCACGGCACACCGACGCAGTACACCGCTCGCCATCAGAAAAATGAACGAGTTCAACTGCTGGCCAGGACATTTCAAGTGCATTATGTTTCTACTTTTGTGCTGTCATCTCATTTCCAGTGTTTTACTGAAGTCTCGTGCTCGCATCGTGCCAGTGCTTTGTAATAAAATGTTCTCATGTGGTCTGGCATGCTGTTCTTGACGCTTTGGTATGTTTTGACACGCTTTAGGTGCCGGCAAGTCGTGTTGAATTCGATCTACCCTTCGCTAATAGGTGAGACATTCTCGATGGCAATCAGAGAAAACATACTTCATAGAAAATCAGTGTGAAGTTAGATCAGGGAGGGGCTGTCGTGATCAGATATTTACCGTAAAACAGCTGATAGAGAAGAGTTGGGAGCACAAGGAGGAGCGTTGGATTTGCTCCGGAGACTTTAAGCCGATGATTGTGTGTGGTGAGAGACTATGATGGGACGCAGCGCCATGTACAAATGGGTGGTGAGACATCCGAACGGTGTGGTGTGTGTTGTACCCCACGTTGTTTTTCAATGCTGTGCAAAAAAACTTCGTACGCGCTAAGCACTGAAGAGAATATGACGGGTAAGTGTAGGAGAGATGATTAGGCAAAAAAAAAACCGGCTCTTCTCGGTGGGACTAGCGACCAAGAGGAAGGCCATTAAGGCCAGTTGGTGGACGACTGTCAGGGCAGTTCTTGGGAGGCCCGAGTGTTCACAGTGCGGGACCTGCAGGATCTGGTGCCAGGGATAGAAAGCGTTGGTGAGGTGTGATGGTGGCATCAAAAACTTCGGTCGTGATGGCCTCTTCATCTTATTCGATCATCTACCTCTCTCTCTCTCTCTCGCCCTGTACCGCACTGCTGTGACTGGTTCACGCAGATTACCCTTGCAGATGGCACTCGTTCTTGCGAATGGGAATTAAAAAGACAAGCGCCTCCAATGGAACATTCGTCCATATATCAATTTGTACGTGCCCCTGCTGCAGGATGTACAGGTGTGGATAACTGTGCTGGTAATATTTATAATAGATTCTATTGCACCACCTTAGGGTATATTTTACAGGTCAATGGCATATCATATAACCAATGAGCAATCATTGCTTCGAGAAATTACTTTGACTTCTCGCCACAAACAGCAATTTCCTTTGCAACTCCCCACTCCCCCTTCCTGACCTTGAAGCATAGTCCACGTGTCCATCTCTTAATTATTCCACGAATCGTCACCAGGCCGATAGATAAATGATGGCCCTCTTGGCTTTAATGCTCATGCCTTTGTTGTTACAGGTGGTGGGCAGTGGCACACGGCTGTGATCCAGTGCTGTCGAGGCAACAGTTTGTTGAATCATGCGGTGATTTGAGATACTTCTAAACCCTCCTGGCTGCGAGTTGGACAGGAGGTAGCTCCATCAGCTCCTGAAAATCATCGCACCGATGCTTCTCCACTCCACGATATGCCCCGTGTGAACTCCATGTGACACGTGCAAATGGCACAGAGCGTGTTGAAACTGAATCTCACCAACCTTACCAACGTCTCGTCTAACAGCTGTGTTCTCAACGCCTTCCAGCTGCTGTGCCCCCCGCCCGAGATGTCCTACGCGAGCAGCGTTCTCGTGCAGACTGCGCTCGTCATCTGCATCGTGGCCATCGCTGTTGGCAACACGCTGGTCATCGCGTCCATCGCCTACTTCCGAGAGTTGCAGTCGCGCATGAACGTCTTCACGCTGTCCCTGGCGCTCGCCGACTTCCTCGTGGGCGTCCTCATTATGCCCTTCAGCATGCTCAAGACCGTGCACAACTGCTGGTTCTTTGGCCGATGGTTCTGCAAGATTCACACGAGCCTCGACTACATCTTCTCCACGGCGTCCATCCTGCACCTCAGCTGCATCGCATACGACCGCTACAATGCCATCTGCCACCCGCTGTGCTACACGCAACGGGTGAACAGGGCCAAGGTGGTCGTGATGCTGGGCGGCTGCTGGGTGGCTCCTGTCATCTACGTGGCGCCCATAATGCTCGGCTGGAACATCATCGGCATCGAGGAGGTAGTGGCGAGCATGACCTGCCCCGACAGCTGCGTCATGTTCAAGAACACTACCTTTGTGCTTCTGGACACGGTGTGTGCCTTCATGGTGCCCATGTCCATCATGGGGGTGGCGTATGGGAAGATCTACAAGGTCGCGCGCGATCAGTCGAGGAGGGTTCACTCGCAGCACCAACAGCAGGTGGATGGCAACGCCCTCAAGCGGGAGCACAATGCCACCAAGACACTGGGCCTCATCATGGGGGCCTTCTGCGTGTGCTGGCTGCCATACTGCGTGGTGAGCCTGGTGGACGTGTTCGTACACTTCCAGACAAGTGGGGTGGTGTGGAGCGTCGTCGCGTGGCTGGGATACATCAACTCCGGCTTCAACCCCGTGCTCTACGGACTCTTTAACCGACCATTCCGTAGAGCATTCGCGATTGTCCTCAGCAAGAGGATTTTCACCTCGGACACAAGAAATGTGGATCTTTTCAGAGAAGATTAATTTGGAATCCAGGGATAAAACAGTTTACTCACTTCATCATTGGACCTCCTTTGCCAGTACCAAAATATAATAATAGGGTTTCCCCCCTTTTTTCTGGCAACAAACTGAAACCTTTTACAAAGATTCATGTCTGCATTAATCTGGCTGCACACACACACAGGTGAGTGGCTACACACACACACAGGTGAGTGGCTGCACACACACACACAGGTGAGTGGCTGCACACACACACAGGTGAGTGGCTGCACACATACAGGTGAGTGGCTGCACACACACACACAGGTGAGTGGCTGCACACACACACACAGAGGTGAGTGGCTCCGCGCGCACGGCACACCGACGCAGTACACCGCTCGCCATCAGAAAAATGAACGAGATCAACTGCTGGCCAGGACATTTCAAGTGCATTATGTTTCTACTTTTGTGCTGTCATCTCATTTCCAGTGTTTTACTGAAGTCTCGTGCTCGCATCGTGCCAGTGCTTTGTAAAAAAATGTCCTCATGTGGTCTGGCATGCTGTTCTTGACGCTTTGGTATGTTTTGACACGCTTTAGGTGCCGGCAAGTCGTGTTGAATTCGATCTACCCTTCGCTAATAGGTGAGATATTCTCGATGGCAATCAGAGATAACATACTTCATAGAAAATCAGTGTGAAGTTAGATCAGGGAGGGGCTGTCGTGGTCAGATCTTTACCGTAAAACAGCTGATCGAGAAGAGTTGGGAGCACAAGGAGGAGCGTTGGATTTGCTCCGGAGACTTTAAGCCGATGATTGTGTGTGGTGAGAGACTAATGATGGGACGCAGCGCCATGTACAAATGGGTGGTGAGATATCCGAATGGTGTGGTGTGTGTTGTACCCCACGTTGTTTTTCAATGCTGTGCAAAAAAACTTCGTACGCGCTAAGCACTGAAGAGAATATGACGGGTAAGTGTAGGAGAGATGATTAGGCAAAAAAAATACCGGCTCTTCTCGGTGGGACTAGCGACCAAGAGGAAGGCCATTAAGGCCAGTTGGTGGACGACTGTCAGGGCAGTTCTTGGGAGGCCCGAGTGTTCACAGTGCGGGACCTGCAGGATCTGGTGCCAGCGATAGAAAGCGTTGGTGAGGTGTGATGGTGGCATCAAAAACTTCGGTCGTGATGGCCTCTTCATCTTATTCGATCACCTACCTCTCTCTCTCTCGCCCTGTACCGCACTGCTGTGACTGGTTCACGCAGATTACCCTTGCAGATGGCACTCTTGCGAATGGGAATTAAAAAGACAAGCGCCTCCAATGGAACATTCGTCCAGATATCAATTTGTACGTGCCCCTGCTGCAGGATGTACAGGTGTGGATAACTGTGCTGGTAATATTTATAATAGATTCTATTGCACCACCTTAGGGTATATTTTACAGGTCAATGGCATATCATATAACCAATGAGCAATCATTGCTTCGAGAAATTACTTTGACTTCTCGCCACAAACAGCAATTTCCTTTGCAACTCCCCACTCCCCCTTCCTGACCTTGAAGCATAGTCCACGTGTCCATCTCTTAATTATTCCACGAATCGTCACCAGGCCGATAGATAAATGATGGCCCTCTTGGCTTTAATGCTCATGCCTTTGTTGTTACAGGTGGTGGGCAGTGGCACACGGCTATGATCCAGCTCTGTCGAGGCAACAGTTTGTTGAATCATGCGGTGATTTGAGATACTTCTAAACCCTCCTGGCTGCGAGTTGGACAGGAGGTAGCTCCATCAGCTCCTGAAAATCATCGCACCGATGCTTCTCCACTCCACGATATGCCCCGTGTGAACTCCATGTGACACGTTCAAATGGCACAGAGCGTGTTGAAACTGAATCTCACCAACCTTACCAACGTCTCGTCTAACAGCTGTGTTCTCAACGCCTTCCAGCTGCTGTGCCCCCCGCCCGAGATGTCCTACGCGAGCAGCGTTCTCGTGCAGACTGCGCTCGTCATCTGCATCGTGGCCATCGCTGTTGGCAACACGCTGGTCATCGCGTCCATCGCCTACTTCCGAGAGTTGCAGTCGCGCATGAACGTCTTCACGCTGTCCCTGGCGCTCGCCGACTTCCTCGTGGGCGTCCTCATTATGCCCTTCAGCATGCTCAAGACCGTGCACAACTGCTGGTTCTTCAGCCGATGGTTCTGCAAGATTCACACGAGCCTCGACTACATCTTCTCCACGGCGTCCATCCTGCACCTCAGCTGCATCACATACGACCGCTACAATGCCATCTGCCACCCGCTGTGCTACACGCAACGGGTGAACAGGGCCAAGGTGGTCGTGATGCTGGGCGGCTGCTGGGTGGCTCCTGTCATCTACGTGGCGCCCATAATGCTCGGCTGGAACATCATCGGCATCGAGGAGGTAGTGGCGAGCATGACCTGCCCCGACAGCTGCGTCATGTTCAAGAAGACTACCTTTGTGCTTCTGGACACGGTGTGTGCCTTCATGGTGCCCATGTCCATCATGGGGGTGGCGTATGGGAAGATCTACAGGGTGGCGCGCGATCAGTCGAGGAGGGTTCACTCGCAGCACCAACAGCAGGTGGATGGCAACGCCCTCAAGCGGGAGTACAATGCCACCAAGACACTGGGCCTCATCATGGGGGCCTTCTGCGTGTGCTGGCTGCCATACTGCGTGGTGAATGTGGTGGACGTATTCAATAACGACCAGACTAGCAGGTGGGTGTGGAGCGTCGTTGCGTGGCTGGGATACATCAACTCCGGCTTCAACCCCGTGCTCTACGGACTCTTTAACCGACCATTCCGTAGAGCATTCGCGATTGTCCTCAGCAAGAGGATTTTCACCTCGGACACAAGAAATGTGGATCTTTTCAGAGAAGATTAATTTGGAATCCAGGGATAAAACAGTTTACTCACTTCATCATTGGACCTCCTTTGCCAGTACCAAAATATAATAATAGGGTTTTTCCCCTTTTTTCTGGCAACAAACTGAAACCTTTTACAAGGATTCATGTCTGCATTAATCACAATACTTGCAGTCAAAATGCAAACAAAAAACACACTCAGATAATATATGCATTGTCCTTGAAACTGATTGGTCCACACCAGAGACAGCTTTCTTTAGAGCCTAGTCTCAATTGGTGCTAGACCAGATGACGCCAAAAGGCGTTCAGCTGAACGCCTTTTGGCGTCATGAAAAAAGGTTTCAGTTTGTTGCCAGAAAAAAGGGGAAAACCCCTATTATTATTATAGTTTACTCACTTACCATCAATACCCATTGTGACCAAAAGGAATTTTCTAAGCACAGATGACAGGTTACTGAAAGATTATGTAAGGGTGTGCTTTAAAGGAAATTTTGATGGCATAAAAAGCAGGAATTGAGACTCAGCGATTCACCAGGAGTGATGCACTACAAACAACAATGGAATGATTCATGAATAGAATTGTGACTCCGAATCGTGACCCTTCCACTGAATCGTCGTGGAGGGGTGGATCCATAACGAAGGGGAAACACTAAAGCCATGCAGCAGGACACTGTAAGGGCAGACCCTAGAGATCAGGTGTCAACTTTGTAGCAACCTCGGGATCCAGCAGATGGCAGGAAACAATGGCAAAGTGCACCGGCATCAACTTGATGACGTCTTAACATTAACCTTCATTACTGAGCAGCTGATTGGGCACATAATATGCTCATGATACTACGATGCACACCATAGTAGTATCATAAACGCTGAGCAAACTAAAATGGCTGAACTTTTCCAATTCTACAGTAAACTGGTTCCAGAGCAACCTCTGAGACCGCTCACACTGTAAACAATCTTACCTCGACCAAAACCCCGTGACTAAATGTGTTCCTAAGGGCTGGTCCTATCCCCTTCTTTCGTTATGTCAAAAACTTAGAAGACTCACTGATCCACTCCGATCTAGGTTTGTTTGCTGATGAGACTGCTGTGATGGTGTCAAGCAAATGCGAGGATGATCAATATGCCGAGCCGCAATAAGACTTTGACTCAACCAAAACTAAATGATCTCAAACGTGGTCTTAATTCTAGTGAGATCTAACTCACAGTGTTCTCTGGAACACCGTCAATTGACCACCCCCCCAGCCCATAACTAAAATTGTGGTGTTCGACTCTCAACACATTTGCTTATTATTTTGTTGCACGAAAGTTTACTTTATATTTAGCTTCTGGGACAGAAAGAGACTTTGCATTCCACCCCAACTGCAATTGGAAATTGTTTAAGCCACTCTTCTCTCCAGCTTTGACTACTGCGATGTTATATACAGATTTGGTGTTGGCTCACCATTAAAAACACCGATTCGATCGTCTCACTCTGCACTCCATTGTGCCCTCGATGCCCCCTACAGAAGCCATCACTTTGCACTTTATTAAAGCTCTGATCACCACACCACGCCACCCCCGCCCCCCCCCCCCCCTTCCTTTGATCCACAAAGAGATCGTAATTTGGCTACCTTCATCCTCAAAATGTTACAAAGTAAGTTTGCTAAATATCTTCTGGATCATTTAGTCTATCAGGTAAATTCCAATATCCTTAAAGCTCCTCCTCCCCCATGTGATAACCAAACTTTCCTTCCGTGTGGCGACCCCTGACCTCTGGAATAACCGAGCAACATCCTTGTATTATGTTTAATCACTTTTGGACCTCAGATTCCATTTCAAGTGTTCATGCAATTGATAGTTCTGCTGTGATGCATTCTTCTTGCCTTGTATTTCTTCTACTGGTTGTATCCTGTTCATGCGCATCCTTGCCATGGTACTTCACCATGTAAAGTTGTTTTTGGATTGTATTTCATGGTTTTTTTGCTGTAACCGGATATCAACCGTGTAACCCATCAAAATGTCCATTTATTTCCCAATGGTTTTAATCTGTGAAAAAAAATAAAACCGAACTTAAGGACAGACATTTGAGATCAGGTGCCTCTATATGCATGGTCACAAACGGGCTGTTGGGTAGGAATGCATGGTGGGTGACTGATGTAATTTGGTGACCAGGACACAAACGTGTTCAAGGCCAACTACATTTGATGTTATTCTTTTATTACCTTGAACCTCGATAACATTACCAATACTTTAACAGCTTATCTGAATTTACTGGAGGCATACTTCCTTCGTTGGAGAGTTCGACCAAATAATTACAAAACCACCGAAGCACTTCCACTTATATACTCCTGCAATAGATGCAATAACTCCGCATCGGGGGGTTCACAATTCATTGGATATCTGAGCCAGTGCCAAACCTGGATAGAAATGAGGTTCGGGCGAAAGGGTGTCGAGTCTTCGGCCGTGAATAAAAATGACGACAGTAATCCAATGCATATGACGAGCACAGAAGAAGGAAACCAGCTCGGACGTTTCCTAGCTCAATAGGGTCCATGTCCCCGATCGAGTAATCGGAATTGGGTCGAAAAATCAGCTATCAGAAAACAGCAACAGCAGCAGCTATGACACAATCAGGAAGCAAAGCAGCCAAATTCCAAAACAACGAAGAGGCCGAGAATGGCGAATGAGGAGACCACAGTAGGGACATGGAATGTGAGAACACTATGGGCACCACGGCAGTGCTGCGAAGAAAGGAAATGAAAAGATACAGAAATGAGATGGACAGGAACGGTGGAATAAATGGGGGTGAAGTGATATGGTCAGGGGAATATAAAATGCACACCAGAGGAGTAGGGTTCTTGTTGAGTGCAAAGTGAAAGCATCATAATTGGGATACAGACCGGTTAGTCCAAGAGTATATGTAGTGAGATGTAATGGGCAGCACCTAAATACTTCATCCAAATAGATGCACTAACGTCAGATAGTGCAGAAGAGGATATTGAAGGATTCTATGAATAGCTGGAAAGCGTGTTAAAGGAACTGCTTTGTAAAGATATTAAGATAACTGTGGTAGACTGGAATGGAAAAGTTGGGAAGGATAACACTGGAGGGGAACGCATCATGCAAATGTGTGGATATGGAGAAATAATGAAAGAGGCGAGAAACTTGGAGAATTCACTCCAAAACATGATGTGTTCATATGTGATACTAAGTTCAAACTAAAATTCTGCATAAAATAGAGATGGAAAGCACCGGATGGAAAACTTACAAATATGATAGTTCTGGTAGTGATCAACATACGTTGGAAAATATCAGTTCAACTATTCCAAGTCATCGAACCACAGCCTGATACTTTGAAACCTATGACTAAAACTATAACGTATATCCAGAGTGCAATATGAGCAAAAGAGGAGCATAGAGGCACTCGAGAACGAGGAGACAATGAGGAAATATAAAGAGGAAATATCGAGTAGAATTAGGGGGGGGGCAAAATTGAACACCTTTGCATAAACAGCAAAGCATTAGCACTGAATAAGATATTGGAGCAAGCAGTAGAAGCAGCAATACCCTTCGTAGTAAAATCCTAAAGAAAATGTATAACTGAGAAAACCTTGCAACTAGCACAGGAAAAGAGAAAAGTAAGACTGTAGATAAAAAAAAATCGGATGAGATGGCGACTAAGTGCAACAGGCTATGCAATGAGGTAAGGACATCGGCAAGAAAGGCTAAGCTGAAATAGTTGGAAAAACAATGTTTGCGACAGTGAATACTACACTGGAGAATACAAGACCAGGGAGGTGTGCAAACTAGTCAACAGCACAAATATGAAGTGGCAACCAAGGCGAATGGTGATACAAGGCAAGAATGGTAAGATCTTGATGGACAAAGAGGCAAAAAAATAGATGAACTGATCATTGCAGGGATTTGTATAGGGATACAGATCAAGAGAATACAGAGCTGGTGGATGAACTAGAAATATATGAAAATGATAACATCTTGCATGAAGAAATAAAAAGGCAATAAAACATTTGGAGGGAAGGAATACATGAGCTATGCAAGCAAGTACGGAGAGAAGGGAAAATACTGGAGGAGTGTACAAAATCCATGCATGTGACGATACCCTAGAAAAGAGATCTCACCGATTGTAAAAATTACAAAACCATCGCACTAATGAGCCACATGGGGGAGATACTTATGATAGTACGATTACATCGATTAACAGTGCAGACTGATATTTGGCAGAACTTAATATTCAGGCTTATAGCAGAGAAAGCAAGATAAACAATAGGCTGATTTACAACTGTTCCATAGATTTCCATAACGCATTCGATTCGACTAAGCAATAAATAACGTGGGAAACATTAAGATCATACGGCGTGAGGGGACTAGTGGCCACGGGAGGTAATGACAGGGGGATCAGTTGTGAGTGTGAAGGGACTGGTGGCTACGGGAATGTTCGAGAAGGGGGCGTGGTCAGGTGACAGAAGAGGATGGTGGAGTTTGCCGGTAGAGGGAGCGTCCAGAGTCAGCGAGAATGATCGAGAAGGGGGGCGTGGCCTCGTGTTGGTATATAAGGGGAGATGCGCGGGAGACTCTGGGCTGTTGCAGTGGGGGTCTCCGCCTGATGTCAAGTCAACGTGTCTTCAATCAAGTGCCATCTCAAGAGAAGTGTGTCAAGTGGTCATTACAGCTGCACTCATATTTGGTGTCCGCGAGGTGTGGCTGAATGATGATCACCTATGATCCATTGCTGTTTAAATTACATGAGCGGACCTGTGCACGTGGGGACTTACAATGCCTCATTTGTGTTGCTGCTGATTTGGCAGCGGTGCACAAGCACAATGTATAAAATATCTCCCGACATTCGTCAATGATGCTGACAAAAAATAGGTAACATTTTGAGCAATTGTACTTCTTCATAGCATGTCAATAGAGAAACAGAGTGGATGATACTGGAGGCTGCACTCTGCACCATGGCACCCGAACAAAATTAAATGTAAACTTTTTTCTCATGATCAGTTTCTAAATTGGTAAATGAACA